CGTTGCTGTACCCGCAACTAGGTGTTTGCACGTATTCATGTGGCCACCACCTGGTCAAAGACCAACGGATTCATGGGTTCTTTTAAGTGCACAGGGTTGTGCACTGTACACTAGGGGGTTGTGACAACACTGAAAGAGTCTGCACACAAAGCTGACTCCAAGGTTTTTACACCCGGTCACAGGTGGGCTCGATCCCGACACCTCAACCTCGCTGGATCATTTGCCTGGCGCCTTAGCCAGCTCGCCCACCGCGCCCCTATCTGTTTGTAACGTTTAAAACGTACAGAAATCGTTCTTAGCAGAAAAACAACGTTGCAGAGTGCATCTGCGCTGCCCCAATTTGTGCCATACCATCATGCTCTCTCTCTCTGTTCCGTTGATAATGGTGACATGTAAGATTTCAATAACTGCTGCATTAACGGTAACGGTGAAGAGGCACTTGATCGCTTGTTTTGTGACGAGGGGTTGGTCACACTGTATGTACGTACGGCACATCATCACTGATGAAGCCGCGAAGCTTCCCTGCATAAACGTCATGACGAATCGTGATGAAAGCGAAGGGATTCCGTCGTCCCGAAATGTGGAATCAGTGACAGGTTTTTACCTCTCTTAGTCTACCATGATGCTGTTGTCTACCTCTCACACTTCTGGTGTTCCCCGCCGTGATGTTGCTGGAATATTGCTAAAAGCGGTGTAAAACCATACTCACTAACTAATGCAAATATCTCGAATGTTCGAACACGGACTTCTGTTGTACCTCGTCTGAACCTATAGTCCGTTTGGCTCAAAATCGGACCGATGAATTGCAATCTAACTCGAAAACTAATAAACATAACTTACTCAATGAAACGCTGATCATAATCAAAACATCATACCCACTCTGTGAGGTTTTTGCAGAATTTTTGTCCTAAAAATAAAAAAGTTGTTTAACAATCTATCATTAAAATATTGACACAGCTCACTATTTGGTACGAGGGAGGAGTGCAGAGAAAGGGACAGCCAGGTGTTCGAGAACGGATGGAGACGGCAAAGCACAGGTTAATGAATAAATAACTTTGTCTGTGAACGTGCTTCGCGAACACCTGGCTGTCCCTTTCTCTGCACTCCTCCCTCGTAACAAACAGTGAACTGTGTCAATATTTTAATGATAGCTTGTTAAACAACTTTTTTAATTTTAGGACAAAAATTCTGCAAAAACCTCACAGAGTGGGTATGATGTTTTGATTATGATCAGCGTTTCATTGAGTAAGTTATGTTTATTAGTTTTCGAGTTAGACTGCAATTCATCGGTCCGCTTTTGAGCCAAACGGACTGTACCTGCCTCTCTCACCTAGTTACAAGACTTCAGCATGTTTCCCGTAGAGAATCGATCAATACGAGCGTCTATGGGAAACTCATTCAATCAACTCCGAGGCTGCAAACAGCACTACATAAAATAGTTCCCAAGTCGTCTGGGAGTTTAACTGCTTGTCGGAAACCACAAACTGCAACCTTGCAAGATTTCAAAATGTAGACTTTCATTGAATTATGGGTTGCATGGGGGAAAACTCCCCTTCGGGTGTTCTCATCAACATGTTATAGCGCTAGGAATTGACCCTGTTAAAACACAACTGACGTCGAAAAGTCGTGGAATGTTGGCACCTTGCCAAGACAAAGCAAAGAAAGAATAATAGATATACCCGAAGTAATATATTTCCAAGGTTGTTCTGTAGCTTGAATGAATTCTTTTCTGCTTTATCGACGGAACTCCATAAAAAGCACACTTTGACAAAACATCAGAAAGGATAAAAAACAACAACTTCATTTAAGCCTTGAGTCTAGAATAGGTATTGAAAGACAAGGAGATGGTTGAATGAGTGTTATTTTACACCGCAGCATGGTGACAGTCTGTTCCAGGCAAACCAGTGACTGAAGGCATGAGCAGCGATCCACGAGATTGGGATGTTATAAGTGAGGGAGTTTTCTATTACGCAGTAATTTTCAAACCACAGTGTCCAGGATGGACTCCATACAATATATACATATAAGGAATAGAACCCGGGTCCTCGTCGTTTTCAGTTCTGACATCAGGCGATGGATCAATGCTCAGGGTGGATACAGCTTTTGAGAAAGGGGAGGGGGGGGGGGGTGGGAGGTGGTTGCACACTTCATTTTCACGAGATAAGAGTTTCAATGGTCTTTAAATAAACTTTCTGGACAATAGGGAGGGTGCGCACCCTGCAAACACAACACCCCACCACACCAACCACCCCCACACACACACGTCCTTCAGAGAATGTTTAGCAGAAGAAAGTGCCAACCAAACAATTGCATCGTAATATTATGTGTAAAACCATTAACTGATCTATTTCTAAATAAAAAGATTATTTGGGAACTCCTCGAAGCTTGTCAGTAAACATTTCTCAGATTTTACGCCGCTTCCTATATCTTGGATGTCGATGTCACTTTTGTATATCATTTTACGAGCGCCAGATTAATTTCACAATAAAAATCTGATTCGGGGTTCATCGTTACCAACACTGACCGACTGACTGAGTTTTGGTTTTACGCCACTTTTAGCAATATTCCAGCAACATCACGGTGGGGACACCAGAAATGGGCTTCACACATTGTACCCATGTGGGATTGGAACCCGGGTCTTCGGCGTGACGAGCCAACGCTTTAACCACTAGGTTACCCCACCGCCCCGTAACCAACACACACATTAACAACTATATAGATTTCTGTAATAATACTATTTCTTAGTAATACATAAACCAATATCAGCAAGTTTACATCTGCGCTTTGGATTCCTTTCGCTGTTGCTTAGGAGACCAGGGCCTCCTTTCACCAAGCACTAAGGTGATCGTAAGTCACTAAGGTAATCTTAGTACCATGTTAAAGAATGGGAGTTAAGGTTAATCTTGGTAAAGGTTGCTTCGTGAAAGGAGTCCCAGGACACTATTAAGCGCAGGAATTCAAGTGTGCTTTGAAGAGTCGTCTCCCTTAGGCGTGTTAATTCAATGGCTGTGGGTTCGAGTCTCAGTGATAGCATAGTACATGTATCCATGATCACGGTTTACTCGGCGTGGTAAACATAACGCATTCATGTCTTCAAAGAACACATGATGCTAAATACATATTTCGGATTTTCCTGCAAATCAGGGACGGTAACTCTGAAAGTATTTCAATACAAAGATCACCACGACACGGTTTTTAACACTGTCACTGACTTCTTAAAACTAACATTACATTGCAATCCGACCTTAACTGTCCCAAAACACAGAGGGTGAAGTAGCCAAATGATGAACGGGTTTGCTCGTCCCGGTTTCGTTCCCAAATTGGTATAATGCGTTATACCCTTGGTGTCCCTGGCAGTGATATTCCTAGAGTAAACCCATACTCACTGTTGATATGCAAGTATTGCAAGGAAGCGCTCGTAATATCTTGACGTAATACATTATTTTGATTTGGACTGAGTTTCGGGCAAACGTGTGGAAATTCAGGTATATTAGAGCATCATACTTGATCCAATCAGGGAGACTATATAAGGTTGTAGAGTATCCCTGATCCAATAACTGACGTCTTCGCTTTTTGCCTTCCTACACCTGTCCGGTCACAAATATGTGTTTGTAGAACATGAAAGACTGGGCAATTTTATAATAGAATTTACCCATGTATAATTTTGTGGATACAGGTGTACTTTTTACAATGCTGTCCAAATTAAGGTCAGAAACTGAGCTTGGCCAAACATGAGAAAACTTTCTGAAAAGAATAAAATGATCATTTTTGACATTTTGCATAACATTTGATGTTATTACAAGTTCAAACCTTGCAACAAAAGAACAGTATTTTGTCATGGTGACTTTCATAACGATTGTTTACTTGTTTGTTCTGATCTGGGCTTTCCTCAGAGTGTTTGTTTGATGTTTAATGCCGTGCTTGGAAAAATATTATACCTGTATGACGCACGGCGGTATATAATCGACTCTGGACCCAAAAACCCAGTGATCGATATCATGAACAATTGGGATGCAACCTAGCTGTCCATCAAGTCAAGCCTGACAACCCGATGCAGTCGTTCCCTCTTACAAGCAAAGGTTGGTGAGGACGTCCCTAAACTAGTAAACTTATTCAACAGTATGAGTTTGGCTTTTGCATTCGATTGGAGGTGAAAGTGAGGTGAAATGGGGTTTAACGTCGTACATAAGAATATTCCGCTCATATGCATGCATGCGTGTGTGGCTGCTTGTACTAGCACAGACTTAAGCTGGTTTTATAGTGCTAGCCCACTGAGATACCATGCCGCAGTGAAGCATGAATACCCCACTCAGACACATTATACTGACTCCGAGCCGACCAGTCCTTGTTGTACCCATTAAAGCCGAGCGCCAGGCAGGGAACAACAAGTACCATATTTTAACGTCTTTTGGTATGCCGCGGCCTGGGATCGAACCCGTGACGCTCTAACAACTACACCATGGAGGCGGTTGCGTTCAATTGGAAGATGGTTCCGCTGGAAAGGAGTATGGTGTGAAACAGGTTCCGTTTGACAAAGATCTGTTTTACACTATGTTCCTAAACCTATGGAACCATCTGTCGATTGAACACAAAAACCAAACTCAAGTCATACTGTTCAATAAGGAATTCTAATTGCCACAACTGCACTGTGGGCTTTGATCAACCATAGGTGGAGGGAAACCTACGCCAATATATATATATTTCATTACAATTTTTTTTTAAAAACTTGTGGTTCTTCCTAGGGGAGATCCGCCTATCTGCCTTAAATAATTGACAATGAGATGGATATATGTTATAGCTAGATTTCGAAAATTGGCTCGGAGCATTAATCATTTCATGACCCCTCTATATCCTGGGGTCTTTTCATGAAATGACTGAAATGGGTTTCCAGAAGGAATAATTACGGGAGGAAAGAAGAAATTTTTTTTCACATATTTAATGTTCTCATTTAGGAGGTTCATGCTTTCTTGTTTCAAGAAACTATATTCAGACAAAAAAGGTAAAGGTTTGAAGATATTTTATTAAAATATAAACTTTCTCCTTGTACACCTGGTACACAGACATCAACTATACACAGATCTTAAGAACCACAAACGTATACAGCAATGTGCTTGATGGTAATGTAAAAATGTTTACAAAACTATTGCAAAATATTAACTTGAGATAATGAACATTTCTCCATTAGTTCTACACAGAGATCAGCAAATATACTTGACCTTGACACTGACGATCAGTAAGACAGTATGGTAAGATTCATTCAGTTACCTTGTACATGTTTTAAAAGGAATTGAGGATTCTCCACATGCAACTTGTATTAAACCATTCCACATGTCTGTGAAGCACCCAGGCACCTATCCCCTGCAGTTTACCTTGTGCACACATACATGTAGGAACAGCAGATCCCCAGTCATGTAAGGGACACAACCTTGCCTAAAGCCCTAAGTCATGTCGGTCTCTGATGCTTGCCACTTCAGAGAAACCCAAACCGTGAAACATAATTGGGGTAATGTGGGATTCGAACTCACAATCATAATATCCTGGTGTGCCCAAGGGACGCAACTCTGTACAGTGATATTCTCTCAGGAATACTGATGCATATTCAGACTGAGGTGTTTTAAGCCAAGACATAGAACATGTTGACATTTACCTCCTCTTTTGACACCACACTCGGCACAATGTAATCAAACTTACTGGTCATGTGTGTAAAAAAATGTCTGTGAAGCACTATTTTCAAAAGAGACATCATTCAAAATGTTGATTTACTTATCGGTCTGTCATGGAAACATAAGCAATACATATGATTCATAGGATGGAGGTGCTACAAACATATTTATAATCTAGGACACCAAAAACACCCAAATATTCAAACATACACAAGATGAAAGACTTTAGGAGATTTAAAGTGAGTGAGTGAGTTTAGTTTTACGAAGCTTTTAGCAGTATTCCAGCAATATGATGGCAGGGGACACAGAAATGGGCTTCACACATTGTCTCCATGTGGGGAATTGAACCCAGGTCTTTGGCGTGATGAGCGAATGCTTTAACCACCAGGCTACGCCACCGTCCCTTAGGAGATTGAAGCACACTGTATATTTCAGTTTGGTTTTGTTGGGGAGCATGGGTTGTGGGGCAGCCTTGAGGCTAAAGCAGACATTGGTCTAGTGTGTCTCACAGTCCCTGAACCACATTATGTTCCCCAATGCCTAACCCTCCCTGCAATGCTAAAGCCCAAAATGAAGCAAGTCTAGATTTCCCCAGGTTCAGCCTGAATTTCCTAACTCACTGGGGCTTCTTTTCAATTAAATGGGTTTATTTGTAGCTATCAAAATTATATATATTCAGGGACTAAGCGTTAGTCTACCATTGGTCAGGCAGATGGCCTGCACTTGATTCCCTACAAAGGATATAATACCCAGTCATGGACCCAGACTCACTCCCTCTGTCACAGAGTACCTACACCTTGGAGTCAAGAGATATACAGTATGTGTTCATGCTAGCCAGAACATCTGTCATTTGTTGCTCTCCAGTTTTCAAAGTCTCGCCTTAAGCATTCTGATAAGATCTGTGAATGTGGGTGTTCACAGCTGCCTGTTCATGCATGCCAATTCATGTATGTCAAATATAAAACTGTCACTGAACTTACAGTACCCAATAAAGGGAATATGTTGAATTTGTCAAAAATTCATATAATACAAAAAAGTCATCTTTATGTTTATGGGAAGCAGAATTTTTGCTCAGTTTTCCTAATAGCACACTGATATATTCCAGTCTGCATGTCATCATGACATGTGGGAAATCCTCACTCATGCAGGTCCTATCACACCAGTTCTGCTCACTTTTTTCATTTAGAAAACTCATATACAGAGTAAAAATACAGCATGAAAGAACATACAAATTATACAAAAATAGAAGAATTCACTGATTACAATAAGCATCTTTGACATTCCTGAAGTTTCATGTCATTACTACAAAACAAAAAATGACAAAAATATGATCTTCCCAGTGCCATAGTTCTACTTTCTCTCCAATGAGGTACATGTATATACAGATCACGTAAATATATAGCATCATCCTGGCACAACAAGGGATGGAACTCTGCACAAAGAATTGCAACATAACTGAGCAGATCAAGTAGGGGAAAACTATAATTCTCAAACATTTTCCATGAAGGCTTCAAACTTGAAACAGACATTCACCAAAGTAAAGATCTAGTCAACAAAACCTCTCCCAGAGCCATGGTTTTGAATAAAAGTTGGGTGCTGTCAAAACTACAACCCCCCAAACCATCACCCCCCCCCATGTCTGCAATAGATCACCATCACCTTCCATGTAAACAAGAATGCCACAATGCCATAGTGAGATAATTTACAAGAAATAAAACGTAAACATGAATTCTTGACTATATATAAGATATATGACAAATTCAGAAACTAGATATACACCAGTAATGAATCCTGAAAATATATAGGGTACATATTGTTTCAAAGAAATAACAAAAAGTTGTTATTGCATAGGAATGAGATAAAATCCTGCCATGTACGAAATCTAGAATTGACAATCTACATGTTACACACTGAATACCATATCCGCCATACTGAGCATGAAATTGCGTATTTTCTTGAGTATATGTCAATAATAATAATAATAATAGGCCATTTATATAGCACCTTTCCACGTTACAGGTTGTTTTACAGAAAACAGTAACATAGTAGGGGTATATAATTGTCTAGAATCCATTATTTACAAAACTGAAGTCTACAGCAGGGGCTGATCCAGGAACTTAGAGAAGGGGGATGCACATTAATCATGAAGTCTAAAGGTTAGGGGGAAATGCCCCCCAGGGAAATATTTTTCGGGGGAGAGGCGGTGTGCACACCCCAACCCCTGGATCCGCCCCTGCTAACGGATAGTCAGATCTTGGAGTAAGTATATACTCCACGAAGGCCACAACAACACTGATATTAGATTTTCATCCAGTTTGTGAGACGTTTTAGTCAGGGATATTATGTTCTTCCTGTTTTGATGTGATTAAAGAAACTGGTCAGAATATCTGTGGACATTAACTGTCAATAGATATTAATCACATAAAGCATGACTGTTTTATTTGGACATTGTATATGGTGTATTAAATCAGTGAGAGAAAGACTTTAACAGAGAATTGTTTCACAAGTCGATACCCGTAACAATACATGGGGACTAGAAACTAGTTATAAAATGAGAAGGAATAAAAATCTAGCAATCAGTTTAAGGCCTAAGCTTCTGAGGTAAATATTTTAACCTGTAAATCCCAGTTTTGTCAAATAGCAGCTGGTCCCTGCCATTATGTGGCTGTATTGCCACCAGACATTGCAACATATATAGTAGCCACATAACCATCAGACCCTGCCACTTCATCCTGAGACGACTTAGTCTAGTACACCTGTCTCAACTGCAGGTACCAAAACCATCACCACTGACACCTTGGTCTGTCACCGGACAATTCTATAAAACAGTGTCTTCTAAATAAAAGTTAAAATTTGAGATGATTTCTTCTATAAAAATAGCCATTGAACACTTTATATTGCAAAGCCATTCTGCAGTTTTGAGACACCACAAACTGACGTACCTTCCGACACCAAGATCACAAAACACCCATCCCTTGATTTTGTAATGCTGATTGTAAGTCTGTTCCATATTGAGTGACATATTGTGACTAGCGTATTGCTACCTTTCCATATCCACAAGAAGGAGAACTATCAATGAAGATAGGTCGCCTTGTAGACTTCAGCTTCACTTTGGTACAGAAGCTGGTAACTTTATCAAGCGAGTACCTGTATCTATACTGAAATATTGTATTGGAAGAACAAAGAAGTTGAAATCAAAACAGACCTGCTAGTGACTATCAAAGTAGGAGGTCTTATTTGACACTCATCACCAAGTCTATCGATGTGATTAGTCTTCATACTACTTGCAACCACTGCTCTTCCTGGCCTATCAAAGTCCTCGGTATTCCTCAAAACGTGTAACCCTCTGCCCATGGAATCTACTGACATTGACTTGGCAGGATTCGATGCTGTTGACAGCCAGGTTGAAGCTTGTCCACACTTTGGAGTTCTGGAAGCAGACCGTCCCACCTGCCCGCTTCTCCTGGCTGAGCTGAAAACAAAATCACAGGCTGTTCACCCCTGTGAGGCTTCTAGTCCAGGCTGATGGCTGATTGTACCTTGGTTAGCTCTGTGGTCCACAACATCAATCACTGGATTGTTTGGACCAGAGTGAGTGAGTGAGTTCAGTTTTACGCCGCTTTCAGCAATATTCCAGCAATATCACGGCGGGGGACACCAGAAATGGGGTTTGGACCAGACTTACAGGTTTACAGTTAGAATATTGCTGACTCTGGCGGTATGCGAAAAGCACACAATCACACAGGCACACAACCAGGGAGGTCATATCACTACATATCGGCTTCATATAGGAGGAAAACTCAATTCATGTGGGTATTAAGAGATATTTATCACTTTTCTCAAACCTGTGAACATAATGTATGGTGCAGAAAATAGTACAATAGTCATTGTGAGTTCACCAAGCTTCAGTGCATCACAATACATTGTTCAATGATGCGAGTATATATTGGGATGTGTGATAGGCTTCAACGAGTCCATTTTCTTGGACTCGAGTACTCGAGTGGTGAGACTCGACTCAGACCCGAGTACTCGAAATTCATACCTTTCAAGCAAACGATAGTGTAACCGGCATGACGTGTTCCGATCACACAGGTGAACACATATATACTTCATTCCGACTTCATATCGTCATGTGACTAACCTTTTTCTATTGGTCAGAATCAGTATTGGGATGTTTACTTGTCACAGATTTTGTTTTTTCTCATCGTCCTGGTTGTATTGCCTGCATAATGCAGTGATATACCGCACAGGCGGCATTTGGTTATTTTTCTCTTTTCACTATCCAGATCAAGATACGCCCACATATTTGATTTTTTATCGTTCTCAATGTCTATTAAGATAGTTACCTAATCATTTTAAGAAATGAAATCTTAAACGACATATAATATTTACTCTTATCTGCAGACTTGTAACAACTAATATCATACAGCCACACTTTATGAGGAGTAAACTATTTAATCTAGGTGTTAATAAAAACATTATCAGATGGGTTAAAGAATTCAGGGTACATAGAACTCAGTATGTCAATGGCTATCAATTTTCTTTTCTCTCAACGTCTACTGGAGCTCCACAGGGCTGTGTTCTTTCATCCGTACTCTTTGTTTTATATACCAATGACTGTTACTTGTCAATATATGATTTGTTTACTGTGAAATTCGCAGATGACGCCACTGTTACTGGCCTAATTTCTGATTCTGAACATTATTATTGTCAAGGCATTGAGAAAACTGCAATGACAGTTTTTTATCAAACCTTTATTCAAAGTGTGTTGACCTACAAATTTCTGTGTTGGTATGGGGGTCTGTCTGCTCGCAACAAGAACAAACTTTTCAAAAATTTTAATACAGCCAGAAAAATTGCTGGAGTGTCTTTCGAGTATATTCCCGTTATCTAAGCGCGCCAGATTGTCAAAATGGCAACTAAAATTAGATTTGATAGTCAACATATTTTATCTCACCATTTTGAACTACTTCTTTCTGAATGCTGCTGTCGATTACCAAAACAAACAGCTTGACAGTCTTTCATACCATCCAGTATTTGTGAATGCAACAAATATTTGAATCATCATCATGTGATTACAACTAGAATTACTCAGCCTCTTTACCTACGTGGTTAATTGAATTATATCATGTCAGTTTTATTGTGTAAATATCTTTCGTTTTGTGCATGTAATTAATGTGTATATTTTTGTGACTTGTGCACTCGAGTTATATCTTATCTTAATATTAGACGTTAACAGTCTCTCTTGCTTGCACATGGCAGACAGACAGTCCGTCAACGTAACCCAATAATTCGAGTTATCTCCCCCTTTCGAGTCCTTGAAAATGGACTCGAGTCCAGATAAACCCGACTCGTCCTCAAGAACCCGTAGAAGCCCTAGTGTGTGACTTAAAATACGTCACCTGAAAGGGATGGGCCAGGCTTTTATCAACATATAAATACTCCCTTTTATAACTTAGGACATATAGAACAGGTTGTTTCGATATCTGGAGTGGATGTTTCAATGAAATAAACTTCAGTGTGGAATGTTCACCAATGGTACAATGACAGTGGCAAGGTGTCTGAAACACATTTAGAACCAGCTTATCAGCATGTTGCCATGGTTACTCACATCTCTGTTGATGTCCCCAATGCAGATCCAGTTGGTGCCGTTGCGAGAGATGGCCCACTTTGAGTGGTCCTTTGTTTCCTTGAAAACTATCCCCTCTGGCAAGACGATGGACTTCACGTTATACACCTGTAACAGAACATAAGGCGGCAAGTTAAACACAGGTGAAAGAACATATCATCACCATACTTGGATAGATACAGAACCATATGATTTCAATATCTAGATTTAAACCAATCTGGTTATTACCCAATTTTGAACAGTATTGCAATAATACTCTAGCAATTTTCCGGAATCGGGATGGACAGACATTTGGATAAGGTTCACATGGTGTGTTTCACAGATTCAAACTAGTGAATTAAGTGAGTGAGTGAGTGAGTGAGTGAGTGAGTGAGTGAGTGAGTGAGTGAGTGAGTGAGTGAGTGAGTGAGTGAGTGAGTGAGTGAGTGAGTGAGTGAGTGAGTGAGTGAGTGAGTGAGTGTAAGCGAGTGATTAGTTTTATGATGCATATATATAGCGATGATCTGTAAATAATAGAGTCTGAACCAGACAATCCAGTGATCAACAGCATGAGAGAGTGGGCTTCACACATTGTACCCATGTAGGAATCGAACCCAGCTGATGCTGTAACCATAAGGCTAACCCAACGCCCCCAGAACAGGAATGACACAGTAGTCAACCTAGGAACATTGTATTACTTATTTGGGTGGATTAAACATAGTATGTTTGCTATATCATAACAAGATCTCATTAAAATCAGATCATTTACTTAAATGTGATGTGTCTGTGTGTGAAGATCTGATAGCATCTGTGTATCAGGTTGTTCAGATAAACCGTGACCTCACAATGAAAATGAAGGATGTTCGAACGTTTGAACCAATCAGATGTCAGCCATTAAATCGATTCTGCTTCGTTTCTGTACCAAACTTGGATTTTTTAAATTAACACCAAAAACTGCCATGGAGTACATAATGCTGATTTTCCCATTATTGTGAATAGCAAGTTGTCAATAATGGTGGAAAACTAGGGGATTTTCCATTTATCTGCATAACCTGTTTGGTCTGATTAGAGAGCTGAGGCTAGAGTAAGTGAGTATAATTCTATGCCACTTCAGCAATATTCCAGCAATATCATGACAGGGAACACCAGAAATGTTCCACACTTTGTATCCATGTGGGGAATCAAACCCAGATCTTCGGCGTGACGAGTGAATGCTTTAACCGCTAGGCTACCTCCACTGTTCCCAGTGGAGTCTAGAGATTGACCTACCTTAAACTTGCCGGTACAGTTGGAGGGCATCCTACTATCACTGTTCCCAGTGGGGTCTAGAGACTGACCTACCTTAAACTTGCCGGTACAGTTGGAGGGCATCCTACTATCACTGTTCCCAGCGGAGTCTAGAGACTGACCTACCTTAAACTTGCCGGTACAGTTGGAGGGCATCCTACTATCACTGTTCCCAGTGGAGTCTAGAGACTGACCTACCTTAAACTTGCCGGTACAGTTGGAGGGCATCCTACTATCACTGTTCCCAGTGGAGTCTAGAGACTGACCTACCTTAAACTTGCCGGTACAGTTGGAGGGCATCCTACTATCACTGTTCCCAGTGGGTCTAGAGACTGACCTACCCCAAACTTGCCGGTACAGTTGGAGGGCATCCTACTATCACTGTTCCCAGTGGAGTCTAGAGACTGACCTACCTTAAACTTGCCGGTACAGTTGGAGGGCATCCTACTATCACTGTTCCCAGTGGAGTCTAGAGACTGACCTACCTTAAACTTGCCGGTACAGTTGGAGGGCATCCTACTATCACTGTTCCCAGTGGAGTCTAGAGACTGACCTACCTTAAACTTGCCGGGTACAGTTGGAGGGCATCCTACTATCACTGTTCCCAGTGGGGTCTAGAGACTGACCTACCCCAAACTTGCCGGTACAGTTGGAGGGCATCCTACTATCACTGTTCCCAGTGGAGTCTAGAGACTGACCTACCTTAAACTTGCCGGTACAGTTGGAGGGCATCCTACTATCACTGTTCCCAGTGGAGTCTAGAGACTGACCTACCTTAAACTTGCCGCAGGTACAGTTGGAGGGCATCCTACTATCACTGTTCCCAGTGGAGTCTAGAGACTGACCTACCTTAAACTTGCCTGTACAGTTGGAGGGCATCCTACTATCACTGTTCCCAGTGGAGTCTAGAGACTGACCTACCTTAAACTTGCCGGTACAGTTGGAGGGCATCCTACTATCACTGTTCCCAGTGGAGTCTAGAGACTGACCTACCTTAAACTTGCCGGTACAGTTGGAGGGCATCCTACTATCACTGTTCCCAGTGGAGTCTAGAGACTGACCTACCTTAAACTTGCCGGTACAGTTGGAGGGCATCCTACTATCACTGTTCCCAGTGGGTCTAGAGACTGACCTACCCCAAACTTGCCGGTACAGTTGGAGGGCATCCTACTATCACTGTTCCCAGTGGAGTCTAGAGACTGACCTACCTTAAACTTGCCGGTACAGTTGGAGGGCATCCTACTATCACTGTTCCCAGCCGGAGTCTAGAGACTGACCTACCTTAAACTTGCGGTACAGTTGGAGGGCATCCTACTATCACTGTTCCCAGTGGAGTCTAGAGACTGACCTACCTTAAACTTGCGGTACAGTTGGAGGGCATCCTACTATCACTGTTCCCAGTGGGTCTAGAGACTGACCTACCCCAAACTTGCCGGTACAGTTGGAGGGCATCCTACTATCACTGTTCCCAGTGGAGTCTAGAGACTGACCTACCTTAAACTTGCCGGTACAGTTGGAGGGCATCCTACTATCACTGTTCCCAGCGGAGTCTAGAGACTGACCTACCTTAAACTTGCCGGTACAGTTGGAGGGCATCCTACTATCACTGTTCCCAGTGGAGTCTAGAGACTGACCTACCTTAAACTTGCCTGCACAGTTGGAGGGCATCCTACTATCACTGTTCCCAGTGGAGTCTAGAGACTGACCTACCTTAAACTTGCCGGTACAGTTGGAGGGCATCCTACTGCTACTGTTCCCAGTGGAGTCTAGAGACTGACCTACCTTAAACTTGCCGGCACAGTTGGAGGGCATCCTACTATCACTGTTCCCAGTGGAGTCTAGAGACTGACCTACCTTAAACTTGTCGGTACAGTTGGAGGGCATCCTACTATCACTGTTCCCAGTGGAGTCTAGAGACTGACCTACCTTAAACTTGCCGGTACAGTTGGAGGGCATCCTACTGTCACTGTTCCCAGTGGGTCTAGAGACTGACCTACCCCAAACTTGCCAGTACAGTTGGAGGGCATCCTACTGCCACTGTTCCCAATGGAGTCTAGAGACTGACCTACCTTAAACTTGCCTGTACAGTTGGAGGGCATCCTACTATCACTGTTCCCAGTGGAGTCTACAGATTGACCTACCTTAAACTTGCCGGTACAGTTGGAGGGCATCCTACTGCCACTGTTCTGCCAAGTCTCCGTCATCAAGTCACTCTGCAGGCTGGGCGCCACAAAGTCCTTGTACAAATCTGAGGTCCAGAGTCTCACACAGTGAAATCCAATTCATACATTTGATTCTGACAAATTACTGATGTCAATTTTGATGCATTTATTTCTGAAAAGGGAAACAATGCTTGGCAAAGCCCAATTAAATAAGACTCAGTTGATATTAACCATCTTCAAAAGCACTCATAATGAATCCTCTATTTATTCACATTGCTCAAGTAGACGTGTGGCAAATATTTTAGGTATAAACTAATTATGGTTATGTATAGTCAAATATCAACAGACAACAGACTACAGACAACAGACTACAGACTACAGACTACAGACTACAGACAACAGACTACAGACAACAGACAACAGACAACAGACTACAGAAAACAGACTACAGACTACAGACTACAGACAACAGACTACAGAAAACAGACAACAGACTACAGACAACAGACAACAGACTACAGACAACAGACAACAGACTACAGACTACAGACTACAGACAACAGACTACAGACAACAGACTACAGACAACAGACTACAGACTACAGACAACAGACTACAGACTACAGACTACAGACAACAGAACTAACAGACAACAGAACAACAGACTACAGACAACAGACTACAGACAACAGACAACAGACAACAGACAACAGACAACAGACTAGACAACAGAACAGACAACAGACTACAGACAACAGACTACAGACAACAGACTACAGACAACAGACAACAGACAACAGACTACAGACAACAGACAACAGACTACAGACTACAGACTACAGACTACAGACAACAGACTACAGACAACAGACTACAGACAACAGACTACAGACAACAGACTACAGACAACAGACAACAGACTACAGAACAACAGACTAACTACAGACTACAGACAACAGAGAAAACAGACTACAGACAACAGAACAGACAACAGACAACAGACTACAGACTACAGACAACAGACTACAGACAACAGACAGACTACAGACAACAGACAACAGACTACAGACTACAGACAACAGACAACAGAAAACAGACTACAGACAGACTAACAGACAACAGACAACAGACAACAGACTACAGACAACAGACTACAGACAACAGACAACAGACTACAGACAACAGAACAGACAACAGACTACAGACAACAGACTACAGACAACAGACAACAGACAACAGACAACAGACTACAGACAACAGACTACAGACAACAGACTACAGACAACAGACTACAGACTACAGACAACAGACAACAGACAACAGACTACAGACAACAGACAACAGACTACAGACAACAGACAACAGACTACAGACAACAGACAACAGACAACAGACAACAGACAACAGACAACAGACTACAGACTACAGACAACAGACAACAGACTACAGACAACAGACTACAGACAACAGACAACAGACAACAGACTACAGACTACAGACAACAGACAACAGACAACAGACTACAGACAACAGACTACAGACAACAGACAACAGACTACAGACAACAGACTACAGACTACAGACAACAGACAACAGACAACAGACAACAGACAACAGACTACAGACAACAGACTACAGACAACAGACAACAGACAACAACAGACTACAGACAACAGACAACAGACTACAACAACAGACAACAGACAACAGACAACAGATTCTACAGACAACAGACTAACAGACAACAGACTACAGACAACAGACAACAGACTACAGACAACAGACTACAGACAACAGACTACAGACAACAGACAACAGACTACAGACAACAGACTACAGACAACAGACAACAGACAACAGACTACAGACAACAGACAACAGACTACAGACAACAGACTACAGACTACAGACAACAGACTACAGACTACAGACTACAGACAACAGACTACAGACTACAGACTCACAGACAACAGACTACAGACTACGAGACAGCAGACAACAGACTACAGACAGCAGACAACAGACTACAGACTACAGACAACAGACTACAGACAACAGACAACAGACTAACAGACAACAGACAACAGACTACAGACAACAGACTACAGACTAACAGACTACAGACAACAGACTACAGACAACAGACTACAGACAACAGACAACAGACTACAGACAACAGACTACAGACAACAGACTACAGACAACTACAGACAACAGACTACAGACAACAGACTACAGACAACAGACTACAGACTACAGACTACAGACAACAGACTACAGACAACAGACTACAGACTACAGACAACAGACTACAGACTACAGACAACAGACAACAGACTACAGACAACAGAAAACAGACTACAGACAACAGACAACAGACTACAGACAACAGACAACAGACTACAGACAACAGACAACAGACTACAGACTACAGACAACAGACTACAGACAACAGACTACAGACAACAGACTACAGACTACAGACCACAGACTACAGACAGACTACAGACAACAGACTACAGACAACAGACAACAGACTACAGACAACAACAGACTACAGACTACAGACAACAGAACAGACTACAGACAACAGACAACAGACTACAGACTACAGACAACAGACAACAGACAACAGACTACAGACAACAGACTACAGACAACAGACTACAGACAACAGACAACAGACTACAGACAACAGACTACAGACAACAGACTACAGACAACAGACTACAGACAACAGACAACAGACTACAGACAACAGACAACAGACAACAGACTACAGACAACAGACTACAGGACAACAGACTACAGACAACAGACTACAGACAACAGACAACAGACTACAGACAACAGAACAGCAGACACAGACAACAGACAACAGACAACAGACTACAGACAACAGACAACAGACAGACAGACAACAGACAACAGACTACAGACAACAGACAACAGACTACAGACAACAGACTACAGACAACAGACAACAGACAACAGACAACAGACAACAGACAACAGACTACAGACAACAGACAACAGACTACAGACTACAGACAACAGACTACAGACAACAGACTACAGACAACAGACAACAGACTACAGACAACAGACTACAGACAACAGGGACAACAGATCAACAGACTACAGAACAACAGACTACAGACAGACAACAGACAACAGACTACAGACTACAGACAACAGACAACAGACTACAGACAACAGACTACAGACAACAGACAACAGACTACAGACAACAGACTACAGACAACAGACAACAGACTACAGACAACAGACAACAGACTACAGACAACAGACTACAGACAACAGACTACAGACTACAGACAACAGACTACAGACAACAGACTACAGACAACAGACAACAGACAACAGACTACAGACAACAGACAACAGACTACAGAAAACAGACAACAGACTACAGACAACAGACAGCAGACAACAGACTACACAGCAACAGACAACAGACTACAGACAACAGACTACAGACAACAGACTACAGACAACAGACAACAGACAGACTACAGACCATGACAACAGACTACAGACAACAGACAACAGACTGAGACAACAGACAACAGACAACAGACTCACAGACAACAGACTACAGACAACAGACTACAGACAACAGACTACAGACAACAGACTACAGACAACAGACAACGAACAGACAGACTACAGACAACAGACAACAGATCTACAGACAACAGACCACAGACTACAGAACAACAGACTACAGACAACAGACTACAGACAACAGACAACAGACAACAGACTACAGACAACAGACTACAGACTACAGACAACAGACAACAGACTACAGACAACAGACTACAGACAGAACAGACAACAGACAACAGACAACAGACTACAGACAACAGACAACAGACTGACAGACAGACAACTACAGACTACAGACAACAGACAACAGACTACAGACAACAGACTACAGACAACAGACTACAGACTACAGACAACAGACTACAGACTACAGACAACAGACAACAGACAACAGACAACAGACAACAGACTACAGACAACAGACTACAGACAACAGACTACAGACAACAGACTACAGACAACAGACTACAGACAACAGACAACAGACAACAGACAACTACAGACAACAGACTACAGACAACAGACTACGACAACAGACTACAGACAACAGACTACAGAACAACAGACAACAGACTACAGACAACAGACTACAGACTACAGACTACAGACAACAGACAACAGACTACAGACTACAGACAACAGACAACAGACAACAGACTACAGACAACAGACTACAGACAACAGACTACAGACAACAGACTACAGACAACAGACTACAGACAACAGACTACAGACAACAGAACAACTACAGACAACAGACTACAGACAACAGATCACAGACTACAGACAACAGACAACAGATCACAGACAACAACAGACTACAGACAACAGACAACAGACTACAGACAGGAACAGACTACAGACTACAGACAACAGACAACAGACTAGACAGAACAGACTACAGACTACAGACAGAACACAGACTACAGACAACAGACTACAGACAACACACTACAGACAACAGACTACAGACAACAGACAACAGACTACAGACAACAGACAACAGACAACAGACAACAGACTACAGACAACAGACTACAGACAACAGACTACAGACAACAGACTACAGACAACAGACTACAGACTACAGACAACAGACTACAGACAACAGACTACAGACAACAGACTACAGACTACAGACAACAGACTACAGACAACAGACAACAGACAACAGACTACAGACAACAGACTACAGACTACAGACAACAAGGCGGACAACAGACAACAGACTACAGACAAGACTACAGACAACAGACTACAGACTACAGACAACAGACAACAGACTACAGACAACAGACTACAGACAACAGACTACAGACAGACAACTACAGACACAACAGACAACAGACTACAGACAACAGACAACAGACAACAGACAACAGACTACAGACAACAGACTACAGACAACAGACAGACAACAGACTACAGACAACAGACAACAGACTACAGACAGACAGACTACAGACAACAGACAACAGACAACAGACTACAGACAACAGACAACAGACTACAGACAACAGACAACAGACTACAGACAACAGACTACAGACTACAGACAACAGACAACAGACTACAGACAACAGACTACAGACAACAGACTACAGACTACAGACAACAGACAACAGACTACAGACAACAGACTACAGACTACAGACTACAGACAACAGACAACAGACTACAGACAACAGACAACAGACTACAGACTACAGACAACAGACTACAGACTACAGACAACAGACTTTAAATCCGGTAGGGTTCTTAGGACATGCCATCCACAAAGTCATTGGAGATTGTTTTAAGATGTAGCAATGATACAGAAGAATGTCCAGTCAAATGTTGACTTAATCCTGAAAACATTTCAACAAAATCACAGTCAAACTTTACACTGACCTGCATGGAAGTTCTCGAACTTGGCGAAGCTGGTGAACTTTGTTCCTGACAGCGATGACAGGACAACCTTGTTTGACCACGGCGGCTTCTCCAACCGTGTGTTCTTGATGACCGACGCCAGATCAGGGTTGTTTTGCAGGAAGGAGTCGGGGGTGTAGTGGTCGTACAGACGGATGTAGTTGAAAAACAGCTGCTTGGCTGGGGGATTAAATAACAGTGTCAGTCAAACTACTTGACCAAATTAAAGGAAAGCTCACATTAACAGGACAGGGAGAGTGTTTCTAGGCTTCTTTTAAAATTGAATGTCACTTTGTGTGTTTGCACTGAAAAGTGAACGATGTCAAAGCGTTGTTCAAACTCGTGTGAACAAGCGAGTTTACGAGCCAGTTCACACGAGAGTTTGAACAACGCTTTGACATCGCTTTCATTTTCAGTGCAAACACACAAAGTGACATTCAATTCTTATAATTTCGCACTTTGATGTTTACACATACGTATTTTACCCACTTCTACATGGTCATTGTTTACAGTGATGTGTTTTAATACCTGTAAAATGTTGTAATGTCATTCTGTTCAAGACCGTATTGTAGCGATGTTTGTATATTTGGCGATTTTTTTACACATGTATCCCAACCCTTGAAGAAATAGTTCTCAAAGTATTCCTTAAAATATTACAACAAATTCACGTCAATAGGTTTGAAACTGCTTTCATAAGCATAACATCAATGAAATTATCAAACAGAAAGAAATATCAATAACAATATCATTTTAACAAACTGTCATTGTACGGATAAAACTATGACAGATTCGTTTGACTGCGTAATAATACACTGACCGACTTCGAAGTTGTGCGGCGTGGAGAATAGGAAGCAGATTTCGTTGGTGTATTCTATTTATTTGTGATTGTTTATTGTGAAATTTAATGAGCAGTTTTAAACAGATCACGGGCAGAACTCCAAAACCGCGAGATTAAACTCTTGTGATAAGGAACAATGCTCGGCAATTGGAAATCCGCTTTGGTAAGTGAAGAAGTGACATTGCCAAAATTGGGTGACTTGAAACAGGATCATTTCGCTAAATTGGTATCACCAAATGCAGCAAGATCATTGGGGTCCTTGAAACCGTAGCAGAAATTTGAAAATTAGGGTCGCACTGGCTGGGACTTGTTGTCGGACGCGTTGTCGGTCAGATTTTTGGCAACACTGTGCTCAGTTACGCTTTTTGTTATGTACAAAAACAAGTAAGTGATATGTATAAATTAAAAGGAGTGTGAATGCAAATGATTTATGTTGTTTACGTCAAGCTGGACAGCGAGTATCCTGGGGAAAACCCGGAAAGTAGTTCCGGCAAAAGTTCACATGACCCAGATCGGCTCGAAAACGTTCACACACGTATGAACGATTTGAAGGGTTCAAGGGTAATGAACCTTGAAGTTTAGATCACATGGCCGCTCTCTCAACCAACCAAAGTTCGGGAATCTGTGTAAACTTCAAAGCACGATATTATTCAGCAATAACCACCAACATTACCTATGGGCTTCATGTTTTATGCATGTGTGTGAATCTGAACTGGTCTTGGGGGTGACGAGGGAACACTTTAACCACTAGCTAAACCACCATGCAAAACATGTATGTGTGACTTAATCATTCTACAGCGACATTCATGAAATGGTGACATAGTTTCAAAGGATGTAATCAAATAAAAATACTGAAAAACACTGAAAATCACTTTACCTATTCATGCATGTACTTAAACATGTACATTGTATTTTAATCATGAGTGAATGAGTGAGTTTAGCTTTACGCCACTTTTAGCAATATTCCAGCACTATCACAGCGGGGGACACCAGAAATGGGTTTCACACATTGTACCCATGTTGGGCATCTAACCGGATCTTCGGCGTGAAGAGCAAACACTTCAACCACTAAGCTACCCCACCGCCCCACTTCAGATGATGGTTCCTCCACAACAGTCCTCACCAATTGAGTTAAGCTGTGAGTAGCTGTAGGACACACAGAGGAAACTCTGTCCATAGATCAGGGCACTTGGGGGCCACGTGTAGCTCTCGTTCTTGTAGCGTGGGAACTGAGGGGTGCTGTGGACCAACCAGTAGCCAGTCTTCTTGTCAAACGCCACTACGCCTGGAAGGAAAAGCACATCAATAGTCAAACACCACTACGCCTGGAAGGAAAAGCACATCAATAGTCAAACACCACTACGCCTGGCAGGAAAAGCACATCAATAGTCAAACACCACCACGCCTGGCAGGAAAAGCACATCAATAGTCAACGCGCTCCGGCACGCCTGGTAGGAAAAGCACATCAATAGTCAAACGCCACTAACGCCTGGCAGGAAAAGCACATCAATAGTCAAACGCCACTACGCCTGGAAGGAAAAGCACATCAATAGTCAAACACCACTACGCCTGGCAGGAAAAGCACATCAATAGTCAAACACCACTACGCCTGGTAGGAAAAGCACATCAACATCAATAGTCAAGCCACTCAACGCCTGGCTGGAAGGAAAAGCATATCAATAGTCAAGCGGCACTATTCCTGGAAGGAAAAGCACATCAATAGTCAAACACCACTACAATAGTCAAACAGCCACGCCTGGAAGGAAAAGCACATCAATAGTCAAACACCACTACGCCTGGCAGGAAAAGCACATCAATAGTCAAACACCACTACGCCTGGCAGGAAAAGCACATCAATAGTCAAACGCCACTACATCTGGTAGGAAAAGCACATCAATAGTCAAACACCACTACGCCTGGCAGGAAAAGCACATCAATAGTCAAACACCACTACGCCTGGCAGGAAAAGCACATCAATAGTCAAACACCACTACGCCTGGCAGGAAAAGCACATCAATAGTCAAACAGCGCCTGGCACATCAATAGTCAAAAAAAGCACATCAATAGTCAAACACCACTATGCCTGGCAGGAAAAGCACATCAATAGTCAAACACCACTACGCCTGGCAGGAAAAGCACATCAATAGTCAAACACCACTACGCCTGGCAGGAAAAGCACATCAATAGTCAAACACCACAACGCCTGGTAGGAAAAGCACATCAATAGTCAAACGCCACTACGCCTGGCAGGAAAAGCATATCAATAGTCAAACGGCACTATTCCTGGAAGGAAAAGCACATCAATAGTCAAACACCACTACGCCTGGAAGGAAAAGCACATCTACAGTCAAACGCCACTACACCTGGAAGGAAAAGCACATCAATAGTCAAACGCCACTACGCCTGGAAGGAAAAGCACATCAATAGTCAAACACCACAACGCCTGGAAGGAAAAGCACATCAATAGTCAAACACCACAACGCCTGGAAGGAAAAGCACATCAATAGTCAAACACCACTATGCCTGGAAGGAAAAGCACATCAATAGTCAAACACCACTACGCCTGGAAGGAAAAGCACATCAATAGTCAAACACCACTACGCCTGGAAGGAAAAGCACATCTACAGTCAAACACCACTACGCCTGGAAGGAAAAGCACATCAATAGTCAAACACCACTATTCCTGGAAGGAAAAGCACATCTACAGTCAAACACCACTACGCCTGGAAGGAAAAGCACATCTACAGTCAAACACCACTACGCCTGGAAGGAAAAGCACATCAATAGTCAAACACCACTACGCCTGGAAGGAAAAGCACATCAATAGTCAAACACCACTATGCCTGGAAGGAAAAGCACATCAATAGTCAAACGCCACTACGCCTGGAAGGAAAAGCACATCAATAGTCAAACACCACTACGCCTGGAAGGAAAAGCACATCAATAGTCAAACACCACTACGCCTGGAAGGAAAAGCACATCTACAGTCAAACGCCACAACGCCTGGAAGGAAAAGCACATCTACAGTCAAACACCACTACGCCTGGAAGGAAAAGCACATCTACAGTCAAACACCACTACGCCTGGAAGGAAAAGCACATCAACAGTCAAACACCACTACGCCTGGAAGGAAAAGCACATCAACAGTCAAACGCCACTACGCCTGGAAGGAAAAGCACATCGATAGTCAAACATAAATGAGTTACTAAACTGAGTTCATATGAGGAATCAAACCCAGACATCTTGGTGAAGAATGAGTAGGAGAGTGAGTGAGTTTTACGCCACTTTTAGCAATATTCCTGGCAGAGGACACCAGAAATAGGCTTCACACATTGTACCCATGTGGGGAATCAACTCGGTTCTTTGGTGTGATGAGTGAACGCTTTAACAACTAGGCAACCCTACATGAATGAAAGCTCGTTGTCCAGTTCTGACTATATCATGCAGTTTAACCACTTTGGCAGAGCAATTATCTCCAGAAACTCAAAGAGGAGACAATCTTCCCTGCTTCTTCTGTTTGTATTGAACAGTATTTTAGTTGTAAACAGTTCGTCAGCTCTATGTGGGTGCAAAGACAGGGAAACACTGGGCCTAGATGTTTAACACTTTGGTGAAATCTGCATGCAAATGTACAATCCTGAGAAAAAAGATAATAATTTCTGTGTATCTGGGATTCAAAGACATGACATATGAATCCAGGAATGGCTGAGGGATATAACTCTGGGGCACCTTAGTCCACTTGACCATCCCTACCTCTTACTGCAAAAAGACTGAATGAGAGACCTAACATATGCAGGGAGTGGATTGACACAGAAATCTTGCATATTTGATGCAATTTGTGTTAAAAATATTTAAGTGAATTTTGCTGTTAGGTTCATTTGACACAACATCCAGTCAACAGATTGACTAGAATTAAACTGAGGTAATACTTGAATATTTTAATGCAAACTGACATGATCAATGTTCAATTTCATCATCATGCAATATCACATACTGACATGGGTATGATTGGTCATTAATTGCTTCTTAATCAGTTAATAAACATATATTCTATTTTTAAAATGACACCTTATGATATGCTCTTGACTCCCATGAGAGACTGAGATAGAGTCAAGATGACTTGGGAGACTGGACAATCCCTGAGTGCTACCTACCCTTCGTGTGTCCATGGTTGAGGGACTCCTGGTCGTGAGGGTCGTCGTCATTGTACATCAAGTACATAAAGTCATCCGTCTACAACAGAACAGTAAACCTGTCTCAGTGACCTAATTCCATTTCTTTTATTGGACCTTCTAAAATAGTCTCTGAGAGGGTCTCCCTACAGAATGCGCCCCTTATCCCAGGGATATCCTATAAACTGTCTCCCTGGGACAAGTGATATACTATAGAATGATCCCTTTGTCACAGGGATATCCAACCGAAAGACCCTCTTGAACTACACACATTACAATGCTAATTTCAGGATGCGCTTTAAAATCAGATTCTGAAAATCTTCTTTATATTTCAGTGGATTTAACTTGCAGCCTTCAGATCTCTAGCCTAGTGTGTGAACACGTACAGGGGTTTATTTTGTAATTGTTTGTAGGCATATCTGTTCATTTTGTCAGTACTTGTTGACAATCTGTTTATTGTTGTCATTATGTGGAGACCCTATGTTGAAACTTAGATGCAAAATTAGGCCAGCCGTGCTCAGGAGTATTATATATTACAGGGTACGATTTCGCTCTTTACAACCTGCACTGGTACATGTTAAAAATGACTGGTGAAGGTTACCTTCAGTAACAGGTTGCACTCAGTGCAGTTGACAATAAATCTTTCAGCATCCTATAACTGTCATCATGTGTTTTAATTGGGAAGTAAGTGACTGTAAGTTATACTTTTCTCTCTGCATGACTTGTTACAAGCATAAATATTTGTGTACTCATAAATCAGTTACGTAGAAGCAATGTTCACGAATAGCTTCTGACCCTCTGACAAATCTGGCAGATTCGCCAACGGTCCGATAGAAGTCTACAACCCACCGGCCCCACTGTGTGACGGTATATTTCACAATGTCTTTGACTTAAGTTTTTATATGTGACATGTGACACTTGTTTGCTGTTTATAATCTTATGTGGGTTAATAATTTCAATGCCAATTATAAGAAATGTTAAATCTGAAATGTGTGTTTAATTTTATTCTATGGGTCCTGTGAAATTTCAGTGGGTCAGACAGACATCTGAAACTTACAGGACCCAATGTCCTGTTACTTTGAAACACCATTCGTGAATACTGTAGAAGTAATCACATAATCGAGATTTATAGATTAAGGTTAGGCAAAATTGACACAGAATCAGCAATCATTTATCATCATGGGGTCAGGGTCTGTTGAATGTATCGGATACTGAGGACCTGCTAGGAAAATTGCTAAATAAAAATTTATGTTACTTTTTAGAACCAGTGACCTTATATTTTGGTGCAACCAAAATTTTGATGGTGCAGCCAAACCTATAAGCCAGGTTGTACTTGGTGCAGGTACTGAAAAAACAACGAAATGGCACCCTGTCTTATATCCAGTCTATAGTCAGACAATGGGAAACACTGCTTGGTGACAGAGAAAGAAAGGAAGGAAGGTCTCACTGGCTTGGACTCATAGATGGCCTGTAGCGTGTTGTAGACAGCATGGTTGGTGTCATTCATCGAGACTTTGGACAGCTGCCATGATGGATTTAGCACATCCATGTAGAAGTGGCCATACCCATCTCGCAGCATGGGGTTCGACTTGTTGGACCTCAGCTCCGGCAACTTGTAAACGATGAACCTGCAATACAATGTTCATATTATGATGCATTATGGACTGAAATATAGTGATAATGACAAAAATATATGGTGACAATCACTGACATTTGTGGATAAAATCGCTGGAACATATACAGTCACAATCAACATAGGTTTTCTGAGTAGCATAAGTGTCATGTATTGCTTTGAAAATATCAGTGATGGGTTTGGTTTGTTGTTTAACGCTGCACTCAGCAGTATTCCAGCTATGGCAGCAGTCTGTAAATAATCGAGTCTGGACCAGATAGTCTAGTGATCAGCAGCTTGAGCATCAATCAACGCAATTAGGATACGATGACAAGTGTCAACCAAGTCAGCGAGCCTGACCACCCAATCCCGTTAGTAGCTTCTTATGCTGACTGACTGAGTTTAGTTTTACGCCGCTTTTAGCAATATTCCAGCAATATCATGGCGGGGGACACCAGAAATGGGCATAATACATTGTGCCCATGTGGGGAATCGAACCGGGTCTTCGGGGTGATGAGCCAACGCTTTAACCACTAGGCTACCCCACCGCCCCAGCTTCTTATGAAAAGCATGGGTTGCTGAAGATCAATTCTAACCCAGATCTTCGCGGAAATATCATGGAAGGAAAATCAAATATCCTGCTTCAATCAAGAAAAGTTTTCAATCACTAGGCCAGACTGTAATGCCCAGACACATAAATCACATATTGTAACACACAAAATATTAAGACTATAACAGAAACTGAACACATAGATCAGCTAAAACTAAATCTCACCCACACAAACACCTTTTATTCAATTTCCCAAATGAAATAGGCTGGTTCATTTGATATGTGCAACTGACGTATAACGTCTTTAAGAGCAAGTTTGTCAAAGTCATCCACTTTGCATGTGTTGGAATGTGTTGAGATGTTCCAGGGCTACAGATAAGGGGCGTACAGGCGTAATGTACGCCTCAAAATCAATCAAGTACGACATAATATAAGATTTCAAGCGTATCGTGTACGCACATAAATACCTTTGTACGTCTAACATTTAATTTCCGTGCGTATCGTGCAAATGGAAATCTATTTCGGATAAATACTTGTCAAGTTTCTTTTGCGAAACACGATTTTACACATGAGGAAACCCCAACAGTAGGAATCCCTTGCGTTGCCATGCAACGATATGCGTCACTATTTTTCGATTGGCTAAAAACTACACTGTTCCTATTTATATCCAGTTGGACCTAACATTTCGCGCATCACACGGTCGCTCAGTTATTTCTCACTCGTCTTCAAATACAAATACATGGTTGGAAATAGTGATCGATGAATCGTCCAGACAAACCACATCACCAACTCACTCACACAAAAACATGTTGACGATCAGTACTCCTTCAAAATTCTCAGTACGCCAATGGAGAAGGTTCCGCCTCCACGATAAACAGCCAGGACACGTGCAATCAAATCCAAACACTTTATTGTCGAAGCCAAGGCGACACACAGACAGACCGAAGAACCGAACATAAAACTGGGAAAGCGAGTTTAAGTTTAAGGGAGATAACTCTTAGAGTCATTGTGTTAACTCGCTAATAACTAACTGCCAACTGGCAACCAAATAACAGTAAACAAATGGTAAATTGTCGTTTAGACTCTTTGGAACAAATATGTCCTGTAGAGGTGGATTATAACACTGACAAACTGAAAAGGAAATGAGAGACCATCACTGAGTAGACTGCCCTCCAGTCTCGGGGATTATTCTGCCCCATCACATAAAGCAACCGATATATGCAACACAGTATCACCAGAGGATGCTCACACACATTACTCTAGTAAAGGATATAGTCTGAGAGGTGGCATGGCATCTGGCGATTGCGACTGGACCGGACGCAACTTTGGAGACATAGAAGGTTCTGATTGATCGATAGGGGAGTCTGTTGAAGTATCTTCTGGATAGTCAGTGTTACCAGTAGTGCGACACGGGTATGAATTCATGTCAGCATAATAGGGTCAGCTCTCTCTGCAGGTGTAGGGGGCTCCATGATGACATCTGGTATAGGAGGAGGTTGAGGAGGAGGAGGTAGAGACTTTGGGAATCTGTCATGTTCATCTCCCACTGGCAGATATTGAAGATCAGCCGACAAAGTGGATGCTTGTTGCAGTGAAGGTTTTGTAACAGAGTAACCTCCGACTTTTCACTCTATAGGAAGTGTTTGAAGTTGTGATCCGGTGAATTCTGAGCGTTGCACCAGTCATTGTCAACTGCTGTGACAATGTAGCGATCACGGGCACGGGACTTGGAGCCATCGCTGTGAATGTAGACTATGCTTCCTACATCAATGTCAGGTGTCAGACCCTGCTTGAGGTGGGAGTCTTAGACTTCTCACTTGATAAATGATTGGACACACGCGTTGGCCATGTTGACTAAGAATTAGATCCATGTCATGTATAGGCAACTGAGAGTTTGTGTGCTGGTCGCGTTGTGTCCACATTTCCCTGGCGGAGAAACCTCTGGTTCTGATCCGTGAGTTCAGGCGTGCAGTGGCAAGAGAAAGGTTGAGGGGCGAGACGTAACTGCACTGAGGTCTTGACGCAGTAACTCAGTTATGAGTTCTTGAACAGCTCTTTCTGCAACTGGGTTCTTATTCTTGTTCTTGACTTCGACCCGATTTCAATTACTACACCATTTTGTTTCATAAACCTGTCATTAACAAGGGCTACAAAACCGGGAGCTGGATCAGTTCGAATGACAGCAGGCGGTCCATCCATTGGGTGAACTTCACTGCACAAAGCAATAATTGAGCTGCGGAGTGTGTCGTGGCGCTTCGTCATCAGTAGACAGGACAGTGTAAGAGATGTGACACATTCGGACTACAAGTATGAATTGCGGTTCGCGGCGAACAACGTCGCTCTTGAAACTGATTCCAATAGTATCAGGCGGGTCTCCAGTGGACTGTTGGATCACTGTATGTGGTAAACTGCGAAGTGATTGACATCTATGGCAACTGGCAGTGGTGTCTTCAATAGTCTTGTCAAGATCCAAGGCATAGAAGTAGCGCTGTATGACCTGTTTCATCTGGTGATTGGTCGGATGATTGAGTTGAATGTGCAGGGCAGTCAGTAATCCGCTGACAATTTCACGCGGTACAATGATCCGTTCTCTGTTAGGCGTGAAAGGCTCCTCCTTGACAACAACAAGTAAGCCGTCCCGCGCAATGGAAGCGACCTGTAGGTAACGTTTAACGGCCCTGATGTTAGTCAACTCTTGGACGGACGTGTACCTTGAGTGAGATGGGCATGTGTGTCGAAGATCACTGCACTCTGACTGGATGGATTTCCAGGCAGCTCTGCTTGTGAATGGTAATCTTGACTCTCCAGTGATAAAGTCCTGAATGGAAGTGATACGGACAACCGAATCTTCCGTACGAGCCACGAAAGAGCAAATTTGACAAGTAGGTTCATTGCAATCTGGTGCATTTCTGCTTGCAAAATCCGAAGGCAGGTTTGCGGCACCTGCAAGGTGACGAATAGATGCTTGATGGTGGCTCACAATGGAGAGGAATGTGTACACTCGTGGACTGGCAGAAAATTCTCCCCTGCACAATTTCTCAAAGGCTTGCACACAAGGCTTACTGTCAGTGAGAACACAAGTCTTATGCTTTGACTGGATCATGTAAGGGCTGAAGTGTTTGACAGCTAAAGCGATGGAAAGTGCTTCTATTTCACATGGTAACCACTTCACTTGATGACCTCGGAGCTTGCAATATGATGTGTAAGTACACTCGCACCCCCAAAAGTTATCTGGAGCCCTGTGTTCCCAATAACACTGTTTAACGTTCATCTGTCAACACATCATCCACATCAGGGGAGACAATTCCAAACTGGGTTCTCCTTGAAATGTGGGTTGCATGTTGTGTTCTTAAGTGTAACAATTCAATAATATCAAAAGGTGGTCAAGTTTATATACCAGTCTGAAATTTGAAAAAAAATACATACCTTTCTGACGATGTCTCGAGCATACTTTGACAGCATATTTAACACGAAACTCAGTCTCATATACACTGATAATGATCATTGAGGTAGGCGTGACCAAAAGGTCGGACATTACGAGATCCCTGTCATGAAATGACATAACAATTGAAAAAAACCCCTTTAATTTAACATGACAAACTCTTATCATGAACTTCTAGTTAGATCACAGGATACAAATAGCAATTTTCATCACATAGGCAAGTACCCGGGTGCTAAATCGCCAGAACCTAGGTGCCTAGAATAATTCAAGTTACTTCCTGTAATTTTTGTAAACACGGGCGCTCGGCGATGAGATGAGATCCACGGCTCTTTTGTGATATTGATGGAAAATCAACTCTGGACTTACCAATCCACTGGCTTTCCAGTTGAAGACATGCATTGTACACTGTATGCACTGGAAACAGAACACAAGAAAACAACAACAGCTAACATTTTGGCAAGAAACAGTAACAGTATCTATAGCCAGTAATGCTTCGTCTGCAATCACGAGTTCTCGTTTGTTGTACTTGTTTTTCATTCTTCAATCTGGATCCAGTTTCCATTGACTTGGGCATAAGGATTTGAATCCGGTTTGACTGGACCCTTCGTTTAATGTATGTTTGTAGAGTAATATTCTTAAATGTACGGATATATTGCTACAAAAATAATACGATATAAGGCTATCAAATATTATTTATAATAGAAAATATGTTCTCATACATATTACTGTGTGTCATCTGTTAATATCGATCTTACTGTAATTTTCAGATAATCATTACCCAATAAAGGAAAAAGATGTTTGAAACTCCGCGCACCGCCTTCGTTACTATGAAAGATTAAAATGAGCCTGGAATATCCCTGTGAGGAGCTTTCAGAGAGCAAGCATGGCGGCCACGAGAAAGTTAGACTGTAAAGACTTACACGCTTATTTGAAAACCTTACACACGTCCATCCTCGACAGACTGTACAGCAACCCCGCAACTTGTTTGGCGGTCTTCAGGTATCTGCTAGGAATCGACTTTTCGTTCCAGACTAAATTTCAGCAGTCAAATGGACATAGATATGAAAGCGCAGTCTTGAAATTCACCGTATTAAACATAAACATTGTAAATAAACACTGACAAAATATACGGCGTATATTTTGTCAGTGTTTATTTACAATGTTTATGTTTGATATAAGTTGTAAATAAATCTCCGGTGCGTTCTAGTATACCTTATTCTAGTTAACGCTGTCACAATTGCCTGTAAGTTAAAGTGACATCGTTTTCATTGAACGTGTTTTAACTCTAACAGACACCATAAATATATTATTAATTGCCGACAAAAATACTATAACGACAGGACATTTTAAATAAAGTATAGAGTGACCATAATTCGTACATTAACAGGAGTTGGTTACTTGGTCACAGTACATTAACAGGTGTAACTACACCTGTGTACACCATTTGTTTTTGTCCATGGTTAATGATAGATTTATTAAATATTCCACACGGGCTCCACTGTGTAGGTCTGTGGGAGAATATATTCTATAGGGGCTCCCATTAACACTCTGTTTAATGTCAGAAGGTTTCCTGTTTTTTAAATTTATTAATAAGTATCAATCTCAATATGCTTTTGTGTTTATTCATGAAGGTATACACCAATTTATATTTACTGTGTGCTCGATTTTACTGTTTTAACCTCCATAAATGCAAAATATTAGGTTTGTCTTGTCCAGCAGATATTATTCAAGTAAATCATGTAGAACATAATGCAACAACAAAAAAAAGCGTAAAAAATCTGAATATTATATCAACTTATTTGTAATGTTTTAGTTAGGAACTAAGGAAGTAAATCTGATGCACTGTATGATCCTGTAATTATTCTTAAATTTCAACTTCAAGACAACAATAACTTTTATGTAAATTTTAGAAAACAAAATGGAAGGATGTTTTTGTGAATGAGTGTACAGCTTAACTAAGAATTATAGATAGTCAATCATATTTGACTCCCAGAAATGAATGCGTTTTACAGTATCACACTTTTCAGTTCATGACATTAATCAGTGTATCAACATTATATCATTTTTGATACTATACCATGTTTAATTTTTTATGCTTCCCTCGAGGGTTATGACTGACATAATTAAGTACTAATCAGGTCACAAACTACTGCATATATAATGACTACTTCTTGCATGCAAGATTAGATACTCATATCTAATATTGTTTGACTTCATAATGTTCACCTGGATAAGTAAATGTCCTGCCCACTTGAGTTAATTGTAAATATACAAAATGTGAAGCCCATTTCTGGTGTTCCCCTGCTGTGATATTGCTGGAATAACGCTAAAAGCAGAGTAAAACCCAACTCACTCACTCACTAATTTCAAATACTTTATGCTCCTGGTCATAGGCAGATCCAGGAGCTGTGTGTCTTTGTGTATGTGTGCAGTGGTGCGCTCCCCTCACATCCCCTTTGTCCTGAACGTTTATTAAAATGACCTTTGAAACTCTTGTGAAAACGAGTGAAAATTAACTGTGCACCCCTCCTTTCTCAAAACGCTGTATCTGCCCCTACTGGTAAACACATTATCATGATTATTGCTATCTACAGCATCTTCACTGAGTGTTCTTTGTTTATCTCAGAGAGTTGCCAGAGCTGGGACGCCACTATGTGATGAGAATTTTGTTTGTGGAGCAGCCAGTTTCCCAGTCTGTGGTTGGTCAGTGGATCTCAAACAAGCACCAGGAGTGAGTAGTTGTCTGGCATTCATTTCTGTTTGACAGGTTTTCTTTGTGAGTCTGATATCTGAGATGATGAAGAGGTATTTTGATATTGCAGTTTCATTTTCACGTTGAAGGTGTTTATCTGTAAAACAAGAAAATATATTGGTTGTGGCAGAGTTCCACTAAAAGATCTTAGTGCTAAGATGATTGTAACTCTCATACATAAACATGGACTTACAACAGTTGTAGTGCTCAGTAGTGGTGTTCCGATTAATTGAAATAATCGAAGATTGGTCCCAGTGGCCAAACGACCAAGCAATCGATCACATTTTCTCATAATTGAACACAAACGATTTGGGAACCGCTGTAATAGAGTTTGAAATACTTGATGATGGAACATATTTAGGACGTTGTCCGTGTTTAATTCTTAGAAAACTCACTTCACTTTCTGAAAAGTCATGACTGAATATTTCTTGAAAAATCTGGGAAGTTTATGTTACAATGCAACTGAATCATTTTACACTGGATGTGAAATTTGCAAATGTAATTTGTGCAGTTTCTAAATATAACAAAAAACAACAACAGAGAACCAACTGTTTTTTCTTTATACTTACCTGCAACTACAACCTGAATAGGAAAATCTGAAACATAACGCTAACCAATTTTTTTCGATGATTGGTCGTTGGTATTGAACCAATCATCAATTGTGAGATCTCAACCAATTCCCAACACTAGTGCTCAGATCTGCTTGTGTTATGGGCCTCTGGTGTTAAAATGGATTTTCTGTGCAATAATCAATGTACTTTGAAAGGCCGAAGGTTGATTAAATATATTCCCAAATGATTAAGTAATAGGTTTTTATGGCCTTAGATCCTTTCATATGCTGCTTTTGTTATTTTCAGAGAACATCGTTATGCAGTGAAGTCTCTGTCGGATCTGAGGGTGTGGCATGACCAGCCCCTCCCTTGGGGGATGCCAGGCTGGTTACTCAATCACACATTCCGGAAAAACATGAAGATTGCCTTGCTGGGAGGGTCGGTGTTTTCCTCCACAATGATTAGCATCATCGTGATTGCTTCTTTTGTTCTCGTCTTCTAAAGTCAGGCCACGATATTGCTGAAACATTGTTGAGTGCAGAGTTAAACAACAACCCACCAACTTCTAAAGTCTGTCATGGCATCATTCAGCAATATGGCGGCGGCCTGTAAATAATCAAGTCTGGACACAGCAATCCAGTGATCAAAAGCATGAGCATCAATCTATGCAATAGGGATATTATGTCAAGAAAGTCAGCGAGCCTGACCACCCGATGCCATTAGTCGCCTCTTACGACAAGGATGGGTTACTGAAGACCAATTCTAACCTGGATGTTCACAGGTTTCCTTTATTGGAAATGTTCCTGTCATGTAAACACAATCGTGGCATCACTCCAGATTGATGCTGTCCTCTTGGTGCCCATGCTTTATATGCATCCGACTCCATCTATTGCACATGTGTTGGCATTTTGCTCTGGCAATTTAAATGAGGGAGGATGTATTTTCAGGATCTTGTCCACTTCCAGATACCAAAAAAGGGGATTTAAACTCAGATAATGGGCCCAACACATAACCTTCTTCACGACTTCATTAATATTTGTTACATGTTCTGAAAACCTTTGACCGCCTCTGTGGTGTAGTGGTTAGAGCGTCCGCCCGGTTTGATCCCCGACCGCGTCATACCAAAAGACGTTAAATTATGGTACTTGTTGGTCCCTGCCTGGCGCTCGGTATTAATTGGTACAACGAGGACTGGTTGGCTCGGAGTCAGTATACTGTGTCTGAGTGTGGTATTCATGCTTCACTGCGGCATGGTATCTCAGTGAGCTAGCACTATAAAACCAGCTTCAGTCTGGGCTAGTACAAGCAGCCGCACATACACATACACACGCATGTACGTCGTCATATGAGCGAAATATTCTCAAGCACGACGTTAAACCCAATTTCACCTCACCTCACCTCTGAAAAACTTTTGTATTTTCAAAGTGTTGGTATATGTGAGATTAAACTATGTCCCTGAATGTCCAGTGGTGAAGCCTGGACTGGCGGAGGGCCACTGCCGCAGGACAAGCATGCCAAGGATGTCTCATTTCTGGATAAATACGCCTTGGAGAGATGGGAGGTAGGTTTTCTAGAGATGGGAGATATGAATATATTCACAGAAACAAGTTAATCATTTTTAGGTGTGTAATGTATTAACTCTGGATATTAAATAAGTCTTCAGGTTGTGCTGGTTAAGTTTTCGGTAGGTTGTCAAGACTGAAGTTCAGATTTTGGTTTGTTTGATTCCAGTGTGTGCTGCACTTTATGGTGGGGTCGTCGGAGGGGACAGACGGGGTCAGCAAAGATATCATCGATGTGCTGCTCCACAGTGGACTCATGAAAGAGTGAGTGGATAACTATAGACCGCAGGGTGGACAACTGCATGTATAAACCGGGGTACATCTGCGTAGGATTATTCCAGAAAAATGTCAGAGAGAATACTTAACAATCCTTTCCTGAGGGGCAGTGGGGTAGCCTAGTGGTTAAAGCGTTCGCTCGTCATGCTGAAGACCCGTGTTCGATTCCCCACATGGGTACATTTTGTGAAGCCATATGTAGTGTGCCCACCATGATATTGCTGGAATATTCCCAGCAGTAAGTCACAGGCTGTTCTGTTAGTAATGACTATGTGTCAGGTATAAAAGGTGTTTGTCATATCATTTGGACATTCAGGGAATGCAAGTTGTTGTATGCTGTATGGCCTTCAGCTGTTTTGTTGTCCCAGTCTTCATTCCACCCCTTCTTCCTGTTGCAGGGGAGTCGTCCGAGCCACTGCCATCCATTTCCCCGGCTGGCTTCCAGTTCTTGCTGCTTGATACGGGCTCCCAGGTGTGGTACTTCATGCTGCAGTACCTCGAGTCTGTGGAGGTACGTGTTGCCATGGTTACTGATTTAGGTGTGGTACTTCATGCTGCATTACCTCGAGTCCGTGGATTTATGTGTTGCCGTGGTTACCGTCCCAGGTGTGGTACTTCATGCTGCAGTACCTTGAGTCTGTCGCTTTATGTGTTGCCGTGGTTACTGTACCAGGTGTGGTACTTCATGCTGCAGTGGGGCGGTGGGGAAGCCTAGTGGTTATAGCGTTGGCTCGTCACGCCGAAGACCCGGGTTCCGAATCCCCACATGGGCACAATGTGTGAAGCCCATTTCTGGTGTCCCCCTCCGTGATGTTGCTGGAATATTGCTAAAAGCGTCGTAAAAACCAAATTCAGTCAGTCAGTCATGCTGCAGTACCTTGAGTCTGTGGAGGTACGTGCTGCCGTGGTTACTGTACCAGGTGTGGTACTTCATGCTGCAGTATCTCAAGTCCGTGGATTTATGTGTTGCAGTGGTTACTGTACCAGGTGTGGTACTTCATGCTGCAGTACTTCGTAGTCTGTGGAGGTATGTGTTGCCATGGTTACTGTCCTAGTACTTCATGCTGCAGTACCTCGAGTCCATGGAGGTATGTGTTGCCGTGGTTACTGTCCCAGGTGTGGTACTTCATGCTGTAGTACCTCAATTCCGTGGAGGTACGTGTTGCCGTGGTTACTGTACCAGGTGTGATACTTCATGCTGCAGTACTTTGTGATAGTGGAGGTATGTGTTGCTATGGTTACTGTACCAGTACATTAAGTTAGTGGAGGTATGTGTTGTCATGGTTACTGTTTTTCCTACATCAGTAAGTCTGGTTAAACCTACTCTTTGTACAACTAACAGTAGAATCTGACGTCCTGATTCAGCATTCAGCATTGTTGTGTTCAGTTTATTTTTGCCTTTTGAAACATGTTTATTGTTTTGATAGTATTGTATTGATCTGTTATCTGTTTCAGTCTCGAGGGATGGATCTTGTAGAGTGCTTATCATTTTTGTTCCAGTTAAGTTTCTCCACTCTAGGAAAGGTAAGATAAGTGTAAATACTCTTTTCCTGATTATTCTCACCTAGCAATATGATTAACCACGTGTGTTTCTGTATTGTCAATACCATGTCTCAGATTAGCTTTACCAGCAACATTTTCATTTATTTCACTACAGTTAAATATAAATCTATGGTAATACACCTGTTTACGTATGAAGATCATTTACAATACACAGTAATGAATGTCTGCCTCTCAGTTTGCTGAGGGCCCACTTAAAGCCTTGATTGACAGTATGGTGTAGAGGAGCTGGCCATTTTATGTAAACCATCTTTGCATTTGCAACTTTTCTTGTCAGCACTCAGATAGGATTGACGTCAATAGTGGTTGTGAAATAGATGATATGTTGTGCCATGTTACAGGACTACTGTACTGAGGGCATGAGTGAATCTCAGCTGAAATTCCTGCAGCACCTTCGAGAGTTTGGACTGGTTTACCAACGTAAGGTGAGCAGGACTATATGTACTCTTAATCAAATCACAACACATCTTTTCTATCTTTACATCATTACTTAGCACTGGAGCAGAGTTGCCTTACCTTGATATGCCAGTATATATCTAACTCAAACATAGCCTATGGTTTTATCACAGTGGTGTCCTGTGGAAACCCTGTTGTTCTATCGCAGAGGGAGTCATGTGGTTTTATTTCTGTTATTTTGTCACAGTGGGAGTCCAGTGGTTTTATTTCTGTTGTTTTATCACAGTGGGAGTCCTGTGGTTTTATTTCTGTTATTTTATCACAGTGGGAGTCCTGTGGTTTTATTTCTGTTGTTTTGTCACAGTGGGTGTCCTGTGGTTTTATTTCTGTTATTTTGTCACAGTGGGAGTCCTGTGGTTTTATTCCTGTTGTTTTGTCACAGTGGGATTCCTGTGGTTTTATTTCTGTTGTTTTGTCACATCACAGTGGGAGTCCTGAGTCCTGTATTTTCACAGTGGGAGTCCTGTGGTTTATTCCTGTTGTTTTGTCACAGTGGGAGTCCTGTGGTTTTATTTCTGTTGTTTCATCACAGTGGGAGTCCTGTGGTTTTATTTCTGTTGTTTTGTCACAGTCCTGTGGAGTCCTGTTGTGAGTCCTGTGGTTTTATTTCTGTTGTTTTGTCACAGTGGGAGTCCTGTGGTTTTACTTCTGTTGTCACAGTGGGAGTCCTGTGGTTTTATTTCATCACAGTGGGAGTCCTGTGGTTTTATTTCTGTTGTTTTGTCACAGTGGGAGTCCTGTGGTTTTATTTCTGTTGTTTTATCACAGTGGGAGTCCTGTGGTTTTATTTCTGTTGTTTCATCACAGTGGGAGTCCTGTGGTTTCTGTTGTTTTGTCACAGTGTCCTGTGGTTTTACTTTGTTGTTTGGGAGTCCTGTGGTTTTATTTCTGTTGTTTTGTCACAGTGGGAGTCCTGTGGTTTTATTTCTGTTGTTTCATCACAGTGGGAGTCCTGTGGTTTTATTTCTGTTGTTTTGTCACAGTGGGAGTCCTGTGGTTTTATTTCTGTTGTTTTATCACAGTGGGAGTCCTGTGGTTTTATTTCTGTTGTTTTGTCACAGTGGGAGTCCTGTGGTTTTATTTCTGTTGTTTTCACAGTGGGAGTCCTGTGGTTTTCACAGTTGGGAGTCCTGTGGTTTTATTTCTCACAGTGGGAGTCCTGTGGTTTTATTTCTGTTGTTTTCACAGTGGGAGTCCTGTGGTTTTATTTCTGTTGTTTTGTCACAGTGGGAGTGGGAGTCCTGTGGTTTTTATTTCTGTTGTTTTGTCACAGTGGGAGTCCTGTGGTTTTATTTCTGTTGTTTTGTCACAGTGGGAGTCCTGTGGTTTTATTTCTGTTGTTTTTTGTCACAGTGGGATTCCTGTGGTTTTATTTCTGTTGTTTTGTCACAGTGGGAGTCCTGTGGTTTTATTTCTGTTGTTTTTGTCACAGTGGGAGTCCTGTGGTTTTATTTCTGTTGTTTTGTCACAGTGGGATTCCTGTGGTTTTACTTCTGTTGTTTCATCACAGTGGGAGTCGTGTGGTTTTACTTCTGTTTTTTTGTCACAGTGGGAGTCCTGTGGTTTTACTTATGTTGTTTCATCACAGTGGGAGTCCTGTGGTTTTATTTCTGTTGTTTTGTCACAGTGGGAGTCCTGTGGTTTTATTTCTTTGGAGAGTTTGTTGTTGTAAAGAGACAATTGACAAAGGGATTAGGTTGTCACAGTTAGTGGCCTGACTGGTTATGTATTGTTATTCCCAGATTACATTGGGTTTGCTCATGCGATCAGCCACCTGTTTTCATAACTAGATCTTGATAAGGTTCATTCTTCCCTGATAGTGCTGGAATACTGCTGACTGACCTTTCAGTTGTTGTTTCACAGAGAAAATCTCAAAGATATTACCCCACTCGCCTAGCCATCAATATAGCATCGGGACTAACGACTTTCAACACTGACAGCCATTCATCTGGGTACCTGGTGGTCGAGACAAACTACAGAGTGTATGCTTATACAGGTACGCACATGCTGCAGGATCAGTCTTGTCAGCTTTGATTGAGTTTCTGGGTGTGTTATCATTGTACCCATTCTTGTAAGGTGGCCCAAGGTGGCTAACTTTCAATAACTTATTTTATGCTTTTCTCCTACATCAAGCTGTTATGACTGTCACACTGAAAACCAAACTAATTTTTGACCCTCCCATCAATTCACCCACTCACCCAACAACCAACCCACTCACTCACTCACTCACTCACGCACCACATTCTAGTCTTCATCCTTCTATAATTCCAGATTCTCCTCTACAGACAGCACTGTTGGCGTTATTCTGTCAAATGTTATACAGGTTAGTTGTTTCAAGTGTCATACAAACAGGTACACTCTAATGACAACCTGTAACATACAGGTAAGTTCCATCAAGTGTCATACAGACAGGTACACTCTAATGTCATACAGGTAAGTTCCATCAAATGTCATACATACAGGTACACTCTAATGTCATACAGGTAAGTTCCATCAAATGTCATACATACAGGTACATTCTATTGTCATACAGGTAAGTTCCATCAAGTGTCATACATACAGGTACACTCTAATGTCATACAGGTAAGTTCCATCAAATGTCATACATACAGGTACATTCTATTGTCATACAGGTAAGTTCCATCAAGTGTCATACAGTCAGGGGGCGGTGGGGTAGCCTAGTGGTTAAAGCGTCCGCTCGTCACGCCGAAGACCCGGGTTCGAATCCCCACATGGGTACAATGTGTGAAGCCCATTTCTGGTGTCCCCCGCCGTGATGTTGCTGGAATATTGCTAAAAGCGGCGTAAAACCAAACTCAGTCAGTCAGTCAGTCATACAGTCAGGCACAATCTATTGTCATACAGGTAAGTTCCATCAAATGTCATACATACAGGTACATTCTATTGTCATACAGGTAAGTTCCATCAAGTGTCATACAGTCAGGCACAATCTATTGTCATACAGGTAAGTTCCATCAAATGTCATACAGTCAGGTACATTCTATTGTCATACAGGTAAGTTCCATCAAGTGTCATACAGTCAGGTACATTCTATTGTCATACAGGTAAGTTCCATCAAATGTCATACATACAGGTACATTCTATTGTCATACAGGTAAGTTCCATCAAGTGTCATACAGTCAGGTACATTCTATTGTCATACAGGTAAGTTCCATCAAGTGTCATACAGTCAGGTACATTCTATTGTCATACAGGTAAGTTCCATCAAGTGTCTTACAGTCAGGTACACTCTAATGTCATACAGGTAAGTTCCATCAAGTGTCATACATACAGGTACATTCTATTGTCATACAGGTAAGTTCCATCAAGTGTCATACAGTCAGGTACACTCTAATGTCATACAGGTAAGTTCCACCAAATGTCATACAGTCAGGTACATTCTAATGTCATACAGGTAAGTTTCGTCAAAAAAGTGTTTTTCAAGGCGTTATTCTGCGGATGTTTAAGCTCACTAGATGTCACACTTTCTGTTATCAGATTCCCCAATATGGCCGTAGCCAACTTGTCCCGAGACAGTGTCAGAGCAGCTCTGATGAGGGGAATAACAGCCGAGCAGGTAAACACTTCACATGTGAAGCCTTCACTTTCTGGAACACCTTACTCTGTTATGTCATAGTCACATAGTCTTGTTTGGGATATCAGTCACACTATATATTTCAGATTTTCAACCGACGTCCTCCTTTTTGTATAGTGTGATTACCAACCAAAACAGGATTAAAAAGAAGCCCCAGGTTCGATTCCCCACATGGGTAAAATGTGTGAAATCATTTCTGGTGTCTCCTGCTGTGATATTGCTGGAATATTGCTAAAATCGGCATAAAACCAAACTCACTCACTCGCTCTTCCTCCAGCCCTCTCACCCAGTTGGACATTCTGTGAGTTCAATGTGACAAGCCACTGTGATACAGATGCTGTGTGGACCCGTGAAGATCCGGGTTACAATTGATCTTCAGTAACCCATGCTTGTTGTAAGAGGCGACTAACGGGATCTGGGTTGACACAAGTCATTGTTTCCCAATTGCGTAGATCTATGTTCATGCTTTTGATCCCTGGATTGTCTGGTCCAGACTTGATTATTTACAGACTGCCACCATATAGCTGGAATATTGCTGAGTGGTGCGTAAAACTAAATTTACTCACTCACTGAGATGCTGTGTGGCTTTCTGTGGTGTAAAACTACAGTCATTCTCTGTCACAGTCAGGTAGTAACTCAACTGTTGTATTTGTTTTCAGATAATCAACTTTCTACGCAGCCATGCTCATCCTGAGATGATGAAAACAGTAAGTAATATTACAGCCTGAGTCGTCCAAGGAAATGATCAGAAAGCTCCCATTCTACTGAATACCATTGTAGTTTGCATCGTAATGATTAAAACTCAGCACCTTTTCAGTGGACCATGTCGCAAGTATTTCACTCCACTAGTGGTGGTCCGATTAATTGAAATAATCGAAGATTGGTCGCAGTGACTAAACGACCAAGCAATCGATCATGTTTTCTCATAATCGAACACAAACAATTCTGGAACACTTGTTGGCTTTCACACGGTTGGTTTTGTCTGTTACATTTCATGAGCACTACAAGCTCGTCCAAGTCATGATTGATTCTTTTTTATATATTCCTCCTTGGGGTACTTATAAGCATTTAAATGTCCATTTAAATTCCCTACGACAGTTGTAACAATATTTGAATAAAAATATTTACAAAACAAAAACTACGTTTTGTCTTGTGAGACCACCCTTACAGGGCCCTCCGGCCCCCTACAGCCAAGAGCAGGTAACTCTAGACCGTAACCTCGTACCTCACTTTCCATGCTGTCGTTTCCCGACAAGACGTGGGTCCATTTCAAGAAGGTTTCTTTTCCCTGCGCAAAATTATGAGTGTTTCAGAAACAGCAACTGTATGTATGGTTCTCTTTTTTCCCTGCATGGGCGATTTGGAGGCTTGTTCTGAACTTTTCATTCATAATTTCTAGTTGTAACTTGGTACCTGTCGCGATTCGGCTCGCCCGGTGCGTGTCAAGATGGCGGACAGGTCCCTTCGCTAGCCTCCCTGTTCATTGGTTTCCCGTGTGGTTTTTCAATGTTACAGGTGGTTATAGTAATTTTTATTTATATGTTGTTACATGTAGGGCGTTTCCGCTGCTAGCATTTTCTATCTTACGCTAAAAGTCGTAATTGTTAGTTATGTTGCAGTGCGTATTATGGTTATTGTCAACTGTATGCTACGTTGTCGCATTAGTTGTGTCGCCCATGCGTGTTTTTTCATATATGTATGTGTGTATGGGGTTGAGTGCTGCACAGGTTTTTAACTTGTTGCAGTTTAAGTCCTGTACTTCGTGCCTCGCTGCCATTCCCGTCAGGGACACGCACGAGGTGTGTTTACGTTGCCTTATACAAACTGATCATGAGGAAGAGGGGTGTCCGGCGTGTGCCATTTTCACGCCTCAAACCATTACGGCACGACGGGTGGACCGGCTGTTTTACAGCAACCTGCTTCGGGTGGGGGTGATATCTGGGCTCAGGATCCCCCGTCCAAGCGTTCACACAAAAAAAAGGGGTCTACGGGAGCCGCTTCCCATACGGAGCCGGCTCCCAAAAGAGCTAAGGTTTCCAAGGAGGCTTCGTTGGAGAAAACTAATACATCTATATCTCAACCTGCTCCTGTCTCTGCCACCCCCCCTGTTGTGTCGGCACCCGTTGTACCTGTTGACTCTTTAACGGCTTTGTTTCAGGAACAGATGTCGTCAGTGAAATCTCTGATCGATACGGCGTTGGCTGGGTTCCGTAAGGAGCTCAGCGCGCCGGTCGTCGGGGGTGGATCTGACACATCTGGGGGGGTTGGCTGCGGCCCGAGCTTCGGCTCGGAGAACGCGCCTCCCCCCGGGCAGCTTGATCCCGTCTTCGGCCGTGGGGATAGCGCGCCCTCGGCACCTGGTGGCGGCCTAGCTTCACGCTCAGGTCCGTCACAGGTGCCTGGCGCCGGCGATGCAGGGTTACCCCTGTCTTCGCCTGGTGCCCTGACTGGCGGTCGCCTAGGTGCCGACCAGCTCGGGGATACCTCGGCGCCTGGCAGCCAGTCTGGGTTGCCCGGGAAGCCTGTTGTGGCAGGTTCCTCTCGGGCGCCTCGGCGACCTGGTGTGGATTCCACCCGGCAGGGCGACTCGTTTCCTCTGGCGCCTCTTGACCTTTATAGTCTTTTTGGTTCAGCCTCTGGCGTATCCTCGGCGGTCTCTCAGGAGTATGAGAGTACGGCGGCCGAGGATTGTGCCGAGGTGGATATGGAGGATGGTGAAGGGAGGGAGGAGTCGGAGGCGGGAGTTCCGTACTCCTTTGGCTCGTCTCTGCGGCAGGTTCGGGATAAGATCGCCGAAGCCCTGCCTCAGGTGGCCGTTACCGTACAGGCGCCCGACCCCGCGGAGTTTCGGCTCCCGGGGGAGGCTTTTGCGCCTTGCCGGGTCGCCGAGGCACGCCTCCGCATTCTGCCATCACTGGTGAGTGAGGTGGTCAATCCTCTCTTGACTGGTGCCCGCACGCGTTTTGATTTGCCCAACGTCGGCAAGCGGTACCTGTTGGGAGAGGAGGCGCTGTTCGAGCCGCCAGTGGTGGATGAGTGCGTCTTTGCGTCCGTCACACTAGGGGGGTCGTCCTCGTCTTCCCTGGCCTCGGCCAGGCAGGGCAGGCGCCTCCCCCCTTTTCCTACTAATTCACTTACGCTGAAGTCTGCGTACCGGTCCTTCAAGGAGTGCTACCGGTGCGCAGCCCAGCAATTAAAAGTGGCAGTCCACTCGGCCTACCTGTCTGCTCTGCAGGGACAGCTGGTGGCTCAGAGCGCTTGTGACGCCGACTTGTCGGCGTCGGTGCTCGCGCGGCAGCTCACGGGTGTACACTCTCATCTGGCTCGGGATAGCATTCGGTGCTCTGCCAGCCAGATGATGGGTGCCGTGATGGGCTTGCGCCGCCTGTGGTTGTCCGTGGCGCGGTATTCTCCGGCCACGCAACAGGCGCTCCTGTCATTGCCTTATACCATGGGGTCCTCCCTGTTCCCTGGAGGCTGTTTCTACCTTCAAAGACTCTAAGCCTTTGTTGGAGCAGCCCTCCGCTCCTCGCCACCGGCCTTCCCCGCTCGCTTCCGCTTATCCTTCTGCCCCGGCGAAGGAAGCTGCAAAGTGGACTGCCCCTTTGCAGTCCAAGCGGAGCAGGCGCGCAAGAGGCAAGGGCAGGCCTGCTCAAGCGCAGCAGCCTTTTCGGGGCAGGGGGAAGCCAGTCCCGGCTTCCCGCTGATTCCTTCTCCAGAGCCCAAGCGGAGACTTGCCGACTGTGGGGCCGCACTGCCTCATGCCACACGTCCCTGTCGGCGGCCGGTTGTCCCTATTCCTCCGGGAGTGGGAGGCAGCCACCTCAAATCCCTGGGTCCTGTCCACGCTCAGGGATGGCCATTTGCCACAGTGGAGGCGAGATCCTCCGTCCTTCTCCGGGGTTCGGCACACGCCTGTGCCGGCCTCCCGCGACAAGGCGGACGCGCTCCGTGCCGAAGTTCAGTCCTTATCGAACAAGGCAGCCATCGAGGTGGTTCCTGTGGGTCAGCAAGGAGAGGGGTTTTATTCCACCTACTTCCTAGTGACCAAAAAGGACGGAGGGTTCCGACCCATTCTGAATCTCAGAGGGTTGAACCAGTTACTGGAGGTGCCGTCTTTCAGGATGGAGACACTCAGGTCAGTGATCTCCTCCGTCGAGACAGGGGATTGGCTTACGTCAATCGATCTCAAAGACTTATACCTCCATGTTCCAATGCACCCCGAGTTCAAGAAGTACCTCCGGTTCTCCTTCGACGGGACGTGCTACCAGTTTCGTGTGCTCCCCTTCGGCATCTCCACGGCGCCAAGGGTGTTCACCAAACTTATGCTAATCCCAGCTCAGTTAGCCAGGTCTCAGGGCAGGTGTTGTCACCCGTACCTGGACGATTGCCTTCTCAGGGCCTTAGGTCCTCAGTTAAGCAGAGCCTCCACACTGTGTGTGATGGATACTCTGGTGTCACTGGGCTGGATTATCAACCTCAAGAAATCAGACCTCGTTCCGACGCAGGAATTTCTAGGGATTGTTTCCCTTGCTCCGGACCGCATCGTCAAAGTCCAGAGGACTGTGTTACAGTTCCTCCAGTCGCCCAATGCGTCGGCCTGAACATGGCTTCGGTTGCTAGGCAACATGGCGGCGACAGTGGACGTGGTTTGGCGTGCGTGTCTGAGGATGCGACCAGTTCAGCAAGTGTTAGCTCAGCTGTGGTCCCACTCGCAGAGCTACGAGATTATTCTCACGACGCCCGAGTGGTTAATTCCTCACTTGTGATGGTGGACGGACGTCGGGAATTTGTCCAGGGGGATCCCCCTAGACACCCCGACACCTTCCCTCTCAGTTCAGACGGACGCCTCCCTCACAGGTTGGGGGTCCTGGCGAGCACTCAGCCTCCGGCCTCTGTTCTGAGCGGGAAGTCAGCCTCCACATCAATGTGTTAGAACTGAGAGCAGTCCGCAGGGTGTTTCAGTGCTTCCGGGTGTTGGTTCAGGGCCGTGTGGTTCATCTAGAAATGAACAATCAAACGGCCATGTCTTACATTCTCAAGCAAGGCGGCACAGTGTCTCCGTCGCTCCTTCAGGAGGCGTGGCAGTTTCTACTTCGGTGCGATCAGTTCAACATTCGGGTTTTGCCTGTTTATCTCCCGGGGGTAGACATCGTCCGTGCAGATGCACTCTCACGGCGTATACTAGCCCCACACGAGTGGATGCTCGACCGGGAGATATTCGGGATTATCTCCCAGTTGTTCGGTCGTTTCCAGGTGGATCTGTTTTGCGCCTGGGGTGACGAACCAGATTCCTGTGTTTTGCTCTCGGATTCCGGATCCGGGAGCGTTTGCCAACGACGCCTTTCAGCTCGATTGGACGGACAGGGTACTGTGGGCGTTCCCCATACCACTGATTTCCAGGGTCCTGTCACAGCTGACCGCACAACCAGCTCGGCTACTTGTGCTTCTGGCACCCCTTTGGTCGGCACAACGCTGGTTTCCGGTAATTCTCAGGTTTCTGGCTCAGCCTCCTGTTCTATTACCTTTTCGACCGGACCTCCTATCCCAGAACGGAGCGCCCCACCCGAATCCCAGGATTCAGTGGGTGGCTTGGCCGCTGTCAGGGATCGCCCGCGGTGAGCGAATTCTGCACCAGTTGCAGACACAATTCTGGCTTCATGGAGGATTCGACAAACGCTCAATATGAGGATAGATGGGCCTGTTATTCGCGCTGGTGTGTCAACAGGGGGATTCTTGATCCCTTTTCTACAGATTTAGTCTCTGTTTTAGAATTCCTCCAGTCTCGGTTGGATGCCGGTCTAGCGGCTTCAACTGTTTGAGGATATTCTACGACTATTTCTGCGTTTCATTTTCTGTTGACGGTGCTCTCTTGGGGCAGCACCCTCTTGTGCAGCGCTTTTTAGCAGGCGTGGACAGAATCCGTCCGGTTGTCCGGCGGATTAGTCCCCCGTGGGACTTGTCAATCGTTCTTGATTGGCTGTCCGGTCCACTGTTTCACAATCTGTCGGCTCTTTCACTCCAGCTGTTGACGTGGAAGACGGTGTTTCTTGTGGCGGTGACTTCAGGCAGGCGGGTTGGCGATATTCACGCAATGTCGGCCGATCCCGCGCTTACTGTTTTTCACAAAGACAGAGTTAGCATACGGCTGCCTGATACTTATCGTCCTAAGAAGGATAGTCCCTTCCATGTGATGGCGCCTATTGAGCTCCCAGCTTTCACTCAGCCTTCCCTGTCCGGGTACCTTCTACGACGTGCTCACGCCTTAGATGTCCGTGAAGACACTTAAGGCTTATATCAAACTTAACAAGGGTACCCGTATAAGGGTAACCAATTGTTTTGTTGTTATGGCAGGGTTCAGGCTGGTCTTCCGGCGACCAAGCCAACCATTTCTCGGTGGCTTGTCTCTGCCATACATATGAGCTATACTCAAACAGGGCGTATCCCACCTGTAGGGTTGAAAGCTCATTCGGTTAGGGCAGTTGCTACATCAAAAGCTTACGCTGCAGCCCTGCCCATTGAGGAGATCTGCTCACGGGCTATTTGGAGCCGTCCGAAAGTGCGCTCATCCATCATTACCAACTTGACAGACTCTCCAGTGAACGTGTTCGGTTCGGTCAGTCAGTTTCTTCCAGTGGGCATGGTTCCACCTCTCTAGTCGATTGAGCTTTCGAGGATTTTATTATGTGAACCATTCTAGGCCAAATTTTAACACTGGTGTTGGGTTTTAAAATCTTGTTTACATATTCCCTTGGTGACGGGTTTTATGTGGTGATGGTTTTTATTCCCATGTCTTTTGCATTCTGCTCTAGACTTAACTGGCCTTGGAAACTTTGCTGAATACATATATTAAGGCATTTCGTTTCTGGTGGCTTATCCCCCCTTATCTTCGCCTCCGAAAGTGATTACGGGAGGGAGGGAGGGTTTGTCTCGTTGGTTTGCATTAGCTGGAGGCTTAAGCTGGGCAATTTACATATGCTCGACCCTGACCCTGGCTCATGCCCCCACCTAATTGGCTATGGTGGACACGTGACCGGGTAAGTGAGCTTTTTTCTGCTATATTTAGCTTGGGAAATTCCACTTCTTGTCGGGGTGTTTTCTGCAGACAGAATGCCAGCTCCTTAGCTCCGTCTTTAGGAGTCTGTCTTATGCTTATAAGTACTCCCCAAGGAGGAATATATAAAAAGAATCGAACTAACCTGTAGAGGTTTCAGATTCTTTGAATATATTCCTCCTTGGGGTACGCCCGCCCACCTCCCCACATTCTGTCTGACGTCGTTCAGCATGGAAAGTGAGGTACGAGGTTACGGTCTAGAGTTACCTGCTCTTGGCTGTAGGGGGCCCTGTAAGGGTGGTCTCACAAGTCAAAACGTAGTTTTTGTTTTGTAAATATTTTTATTCAAATATTGTTACAACTGTCGTAGGGAATTTAAATGGACATTTAAATGCTTATAAGTACCCCAAGGAGGAATATATTCAAAGAATCTGAAACCTCTACAGGTTAGTTCGAATTTATCTTAAAGACCCCCAAAAGATTTATGTTCCTAACATCTTTTAAAGTTGAGCAATTTGCAAAAAAACCCAAAAAACCCCCAAAGAACTACATGTTTTTTCTATATGTTTTTGTGCAAACAAACATAACCAGAAAATCTGATAAATGACACTAACCAATTATTTTCGATGATTGATCGGTCGTAATGAACCAATCATCAATTATGAGATTTAACCAATTCCCAACACTACACTCCACCAACCCCTGTGATCATCTAGTGTTTCTATACAGTTGTCTCCCCTGCAGTGCCAATGTGTTATTATAGAATTGTTTTCCCCCACAGAGCCCCGTGATCCCCCTAACTGTGTGCGACCAGGTGCGACTCTGGGAGCTGGAGAGAGACCGCTTCAAGTTTTCAGATGGCGTCATGTACAACCAATTCCTGTCTCAAAATGACTTTGAGCTTCTCAGGGACTATGCACAAGTGAGTTATCTGCCCCTTGCTTAACAAACTTGAATGGTAATGTTTTACTTGGTTCAATGTCTTCATATGCCTGCAATGTAACAGATTTGCTGTGAACAATTTCTCTTTATTTATTTAGTTTAGTATCCAGAAGTCATTGATGAAACTGTTCCTAATTGCGCAGATCGATGCTCATGCTGTTGATCACTGGATTGTCTGGTCCAGACTCGATTATTTACAGACCTCCGCCATATAGCTGGAAAATTGCTGTGTGCGGCGTGAAACTAAACTCACTCACTCACTCATTGATGAAAAGACAGGAAAGATATCCATTTTGGACAGGACTAAACCACAAAACACAATGATGATGAATCATGGCTTACTGACCCTCTCAATCAAACGTTCTTGAATTTCTCTGAATTTGTCTGATGGGAACAGACAAATTAGGGAGCAGTGTTAGGTTTTGAAGCACATGTTATTTATCAGAATTGTGGTCGTACAAGAAAAGTCATTTTGAATTTGGTGCTGATGTATAATACACACTATGTAAGTACAATAATTTTAAAGCCTGTTTCATTCATCTCACAGGGTGGAGTGGTAGCTAAGTGGTTCAAGTGTTCATCTCACAGGGTGGAGGGGTAGCTAAGTGGTTCAAGTGTTCATCTCACGGGGCGGAGGGGTAGCTAAGTGGTTCAAGTGTTCATCTCACGGGGTGGAGGGGTAGCTAAGTGGTTCAAGTGTTCATCTCAGGGTGGAGGGGGGAGGAGTTCAGCTAAGTGGTTCAAGTGTTCATCTCATGGGGTGGAGGGGTAGCTAAGTGGTTCAAGTGTTCATCTCACATGGGGTGGAGGGGTAGCTAAGTGGTTCAAGTGTTCATCTCACGGGGTGGAGGGGTAGCTAAGTGGTTCAAGTGTTCATCTCACGGGGTGGAGGGGTAGCTAAGTGGTTCAAGTGTTCATCTCACAGGGGAGGGGTAGGGGTTCAAGTGTTCATCTCATAAGGGTAGGTAAGTGGTTCAAGTGTTCATCTCACGGGGTGGAGGGGTAGCTAAGTGGTTCAAGTGTTCATCTCACAGGGTGGAGGGGTAGCTAAGTGGTTCAAGTGTTCATCTCACGGGGTGGAGGGGTAGCTAAGTGGTTCAAGTGTTCATCTCACGGGGTGGAGGGGTAGCTAAGTGGTTCAAGTGTTCATCTCACGGGGTGGAGGGGTAGCTAAGTGGTTCAAGTGTTCATCTCACGGGGAGAGGGGTAGCTGAGTGGTTCAAGGTTCATCTCACGGGTGGGAGGGTAGCTAAGTGGTTCAAGTGTTCATCTCATGGGGTGGAGGGGTAGCTAAGTGGTTCAAGTGTTCATCTCACAGGGTGGAGGGGTAGCTAAGTGGTTCAAGTGTTCATCTCACGGGGCGGAGGGTAGCTAAGTGGTTCAAGTGTTCATCTCACGGGGGGCGGGTTCAGAGGGTAGCTAGGAGTGGTTCAAGTGTTCATCACGGGGTGGAGGGGTAGCTGAGTGGTTCAAGTGTTCATCTCACGGGCGGAGGGGTAGCCAAGTGGTTCAAGTGTTCATCTCCACGGGCCGGAGGGGTAGCTGAGTGGTTCAAGTGTTCATCTCACAGGGTGGAGGGTAGCTTAGTGGTTCAAGTGTTCATCTCACGGGGGGAGGGGTAGCTGAGTGGTTCAAGTGTTCATCTCCACAGGGGTGGAGGGGTAGCTAAGTGGTTCAAGTGTTCATCTCACGGGGTGGAGGGGTAGCTAAGTGGTTCAAGTGTTCATCTCACATGGGGGTGGAGGGTAGCTAAGTGGTTCAAGTGTTCATCTCCACGGGTGGAGGGGTAGCTAAGTGGTTCAAGTGTTCATCTCACGGGGGGAGGGGTAGCTAAGTGGTTCAAGTGTTCATCTCATGGGGTGGAGGGTAGCTGAGTGGTTCAAGTGTTCATCTCATGGGGTGGAGGGGTAGCAGTGGTTCAAGTGGAGGGGTGGAGCTAAGTGGTTCAAGTGTTCATCTCACGGGGTGGAGGGGTAGCTAAAGTGGTTCAAGTGTTGTTCATCTCACGGGGTGGAGGGGTAGCTAAGTGGTTCAAGTGTTCATCTCACGGGGAGGAGGTAGCTAAGTGGTTCAAGTTCATCTCACGGAGGAGGGGTAGCTGGAGTGGTTCAAGTGTTCATCTCACTAGCCAGTGGTTCAAGTGTTCATCTCACGGGTGGACGGGGTGGAGGGGTAGCTAAGTGGTTCAAGTGTTCATCCCACGGGTGGGAGGGGTAGCTCAAGTCAAGTGTTCATCTCACGGGGTGGAGGGGTAGCTAGTGGTTCAAGCTGTTCATCTGGGCGGGGTGGGGGAGGGGTAGCTAAGTGGTTCAAGTGTTCATCTCTCAGGGGGTAGCTGAGTGGTTCAAGGTTCATCTCACTGCAGGAGGGGTAGCTAAGTGGTTCAAGTGTTCATCTCCACGGGTGGAGGGGTAGCTAAGTGGTTCAAGTGTTCATCTCTAGGGTGGAGGCGGGGGTAGCTAAGTGGTTCAAGTGTTCATCTCACGGGGTGGAGGGGTAGCCAATCTCAAGTGTTCATCCCATGGGTGGAGGGGTAGCTAAGTGGTTCAAGTGTTCATCTCACGGGATGGAGGGGTAGCTAAGTGGTTCAAGTGTTCATCTCACGGGGTGGAGGGGTAGCTGAGTGGTTCAAGTGTTCATCTCACGGGGTGGAGGGATGCTAAGTGGTTCAAGTGTTCATCTCACGGGTGGAGGGTAGCTAAGTGGTTCAAGTGTTCATCTCACGGGAGGAGGGGTAGCTAAGTGGTTCAAGTGTTCATCTCCACGGGGGGTGGAGTGGTAGGTAAGTGGTTCAAGTGTTCATCTCATGGGGTGGAGTGGTAGCTAAGTGGTTCAAGTGTTCATCTCACGGGGTGGAGGGGTAGCTAAGTGGTTCAAATGTTCAACTCACGGGGCGGAGGGGTAGCTAAGTGGTTCAAGTGTTCATCTCACGGGGTGGAGGGGTAGCTAAGTGGTTCAAGTGTTCATCTCATGGGGTGGAGGGGTAGCTGAGTGTTTCAAGTGTTCATCTCACAGGGTGGAGGGGAAGCTGAGTGGTTCAAGTGTTCATCTCACGGGGTGGAGGGGTAGCTGAGTGGTTCAAGTGTTCATCTCAAGGGGTGGAGGGGTAGCTAAGTGGTTCAAGTGTTCATCTCACGGGGTGGAGGGGTAGCTAAGTGGTTCAAGTGTTCATCTCACGGGGCGGAGGGGTAGCTAAGTGGTTCAAGTGTTCATCTCACGGGGTGGAGGGGTAGCTAAGTGGTTCAAGTGTTCATCTCATGGGGTGGAGGGGTAGCTAAGTGGTTCAAGTGTTCATCTCACGGGGTGGAGGGGTAGCTAAGTGGTTCAAGTGTTCATCTCACGGGGTGGAGGGGAAGCTAAGTGGTTCAAGTGTTCATCTCACGGGGCGGAGGGGTAGCTAAGTGGTTCAAGTGTTCATCTGACGGGGCGGAGGGGTAGCTAAGTGGTTCAAGTGTTCATCTCACGGGGCGAAGGGGTAGCTGAGTGGTTCAAGTGTTCATCTCATGGGGTGGAGGGGTAGCTGAGTGGTTCAAGTGTTCATCTCATGGGGTGGAGGGGTAGCTAAGTGGTTCAAGTGTTCATCTCACGGGGTGGAGGGGAAGCTAAGTGGTTCAAGTGTTCATCTCACGGGGTGGAGGGGTAGCAAAGTGGTTCAAGTGTTCATCTCACAGGGTGGAGGGGTAGCTAAGTGGTTCAAGTGTTCATCTCACGGGGCGGAGGGGTAGCTAAGTGGCACAAGTGTTCAACTCCTCACTCCAAATTAGGTCAGTGTTGTAAGAGATGAATATTTGTTTCAGGATCTGAACGTCCTAGTTTGGGATAACCCAAGTAAAAGAGTTATGATCGTCTCACGGGGAGGGCACGACGATGTAAAACGATTCTGGAAGAGGCAGAAGCAATCTTGACCCTTCTCCTGTCAGGACATTGTTTACATCACCTTTGAAACAGAGAACATTGAAGGATGGCAGCAGAGCTGACTGTCCCATGAGGAGTCAGCAAAGGTTAGACGAAGTCCCCAATCCAAGAGGTGACATAACTGGAGATCAGACTCAACTGGCCCTTCTCCCAGCTGCATAAAGTGGCGCTAAAACCAACTGTGTCAGACTTCCTGTTGGATTACAGGGTTCAAATACCATTATTAGTCAGTCCGATTCTCGGGTGACTTTGGCAGGTGTGACAAGCTTGTGATTAGTGAGCTACAGGACTTCCATCGGAACAAGTAGAGTACTCTACCGTGTCCACATATGTGATGTTTTGTTTGTTGAATGCAGTGAGTGCATTCAGTACTGTGTACATTATGTAAATATATTTGTTGTACATATTGTAATAAAGGATAAACTATGAACTTCTGTTGCTTGTACTTGTTAACATTCTTCATGGTTTGACATCTCATTGCTCCTCACCCAATGCCAGATACACATTAACCAATGCCTTACCTCTCAAGTTCAGTTTTAACCCGGGTCGTCACTGTATTTTACTGCACACCTATTTATATTGCAGATATGGATGCATGCTCGCATTAGCGCATTAGCTTGAATCGGCAAAAAGACCACAGTTAGACATTTATCAACCTTGTTCATTTTTCTTTTTCACATTTGTTGTGGCACCAGACAACAAAAAATATAGTTATTTTTCAAGTAATTCCCAATTCGAAATATATTGCAAATACCCAGATATTGACGTCCTACATCGTTTCTTCGAGATTCTAAGTAGCGGTTGGTAATTGGTACATGTAATGCCAGTAGTTTGGCAATTCCAGCGGGAAAAATGATGAATGTACCATTTTAGCATTGTACATTGAAGATATCAGAATGCATTTCAGCCAATCAGAATCCTACATATATGTTAAGTTTTAGTGTATTGGGTAAATGCACAATACCCGTCTTTTCTCACAAAACTTTATATATTTTTATTATCCCCTGAGTGGGAGGGGCATATAGGTTTGAGCTCTGTTCTTCTATCCGTCCGTCTGTCCGTCCATTCATCCATCCGATATGATGGGGCATATTTTCTCAGAAACTGTTATAGATAGAGAAACTAAATTTTAAAAAACTTATCCTATCTCCTGATTTATACTTCTCTTTCTTCCTTCGACTGGGCGGTGGGATAGCCTAGTGGTTAAAGCGTTCGCTCGTCATGCCGAAGACCCTCATGGTTACAATGTGTGAAGCCCATTTCTGGTGTTCAATTGCTTAAAGTGGTGTAAAGTGGTACTCACTCTTACTTTGACGATGGAGTGGAAACATGCTGTAAGCAGAGTTGAACAAAATCATCTGGCCGATCAATCCCCACCGCTCCCATACCTAAGCATGGAGCCATTTTACAACAAAATCGATCTGATAACTGAATAATCACATCTCACATTCAAGTGGTCCGATTGCATTATTTAGTTGTTAGATCGCACTATTATGTGATCAGATTGCACATTCAACTGATGAGATGGCACTATTTAGTTGTCAGATTGCACTTTCAACTGATCAGATGGCACTATTTTATTGTCTGCACTATTTAATTGGGCTTTAGGCCCAAGAGCAAAGGACAGATAATTCAAAATAAATTCCAAAAATTCAAAGTTTGACAGCAAATATCTCCAGAACTAATGGTTCCAAGACCTCCAAATTTCTTGAACATATGCTCAATCAATTTCCCAACAATTTTGCCTGCACAGGTCAAGTTGCTTAAATGCACCGTTTGGCAGCTGTGGCCCTTTTAAGCTTTTGGCCACTGTTTTTAACAGTTTTCTGTCTAGTTTGCTCCCAAAATGTGCTGAGGTCGAACCATCAGCTCCAGACATTCCATACTTTCCATAACTGATGTCCAGTAACCATTGTGCAAATTATGCACAAATAGTGCCACCATATTGAATGCTACTTCCGGCACTGGCGATTCCAGAACACAATTAGGAGACAAACCTACTGTGTTGGAAAATCAGAGGTATATAACGAAATTATAATAGCTCTAAATTTCATTTAAAACTGAACGCGTAGCGTGAGGTTTTAAATGAACAATTTAGAGCTATTATTATAGATGACAGACAAAAATAGTGCATTACCGTAAACCATGTATGATTGCGCAAGGAAAATCAGAGACCTGTATAACGTGATTATATACCTCTGAATGACTTTAATTAACCAATCACAATCCAGTGTTTACTGAAGTCATGGTAGAATTCTTTTTACTGTTGACCTAAGAACAACGGCAACGGCCTGTTAAAGAGGGAACTATTTCTTCTCAGGAACTATTTTAAAGGTCAATGACCCCGCGACCGTAGCTGTATTTCAGAGATGCGATCGCATGGCGAAAACGTGTTCTTGGTTGAGTTTTTTTCGATTTCAAGCCCTCAAATATACTTTAAACACCCGTAACTCTGCAACCTTCCATCCGATTTTGACCAAACTTTGCCTCGTGCGTGTATGCTAGTACTGTCCATTGCACAATCCAATTAAAAAACATAGCTCATAAAACAACTGAGGGACATGTCGAATAATCATTTTTAAACTTATCCTATCTCACGGTATGCACTTCTCTCTCTTGATTCGACACTGAGTGGAACGATGTAAACTTTTTTCCCTTGGCCTCTCTTGTCCATCCTGCCCAAGCACTCCATGCTACCCTCATTATAAGACAGCTTCCTAGTTGTGACTATCTCCGAATCATCATTCTCTTTCTTGTCGCACTTGAGTGTGAACGTGTTTTGCTTTGCTCTACATTTTCAACTTTGTCTACAACATGGGGAAAGTTGACCAGCCCCCAAATGGAAGAATGTTCCCGATGTAATAATGCGTTTTGTGTTGATTGTGTGGGACAGTGTTAATGGGACTCTCGTTGCGATAAATGTAAGGATCTTATCTTTGAGGCGGTTGGTGACTACACTGGGGCTTGCGCTCGTCGTGTTGCTGACAGAGCTCGTTATGCCGCTTCACTTGACGGCCCCAGTCCCACCAAGAAGGGAAAGTTTAAGCATCCTACTTTGTCTGCTCGGCGGTCACAGTCCCCTCCCTCGAATGAAGAGGATTTCATGAGAGCGTCGTTGGACTCTTACTTATCGGAAGACCATCGGAATTTGTTGGGCTCTCAACATTCCAACCCGAGTCCTTTGTCTTCGACCACGCCCTGGGTAGTGGTTGTCGGGAGTGCTACCACCCCTCAGGGTGCTTCTACACAGCGGGACCTTCGAACTACGCTCTCTGTCTCTCATTCTCCGGACCAGTTATCTCTGCAACCTGGCTTATCTGCTTCGGACAAGAATCAGCTGATCTCTACACCTGACTGCGCAGAGCGCATGCGCAGAAGCTGTTCCCGCTCTCGTCGTTCGTCCAGTAGTGAGAGGAACCAGTCTACCTCGCCTCAACACCTGTCAGTGGTTACATCGCCGTCTCCTTCCCCTTCGGCGAATAGAATCGCTGTTTCTTGCGTCCAGCTATCTCGGTCTTCTGATCCCGGAAGCCTGCAACTTTGTATCACAGTTCGCTGGATCATGCTTCGCCTGTCCGCTCCCCTCCACCTCGACTTTCGCCCGGACTGTCCACCTTCCTCAAACATAGACCCGGCTCTCTCCGAAACAGCTTCCACCGAACCGGTCTTCATCGAAACGACAGTCTACTCGTCAGCATTCTCCGCACCGATCGTCTGCTAAACAGATTTCACCTAATCGAACTTCGTCGAAACCACGTTCGCCAAACGGAAGATTTCACTTAAACGGCATTCCACGAATCAACATTCACCGAAATGGCATCCCAAAAATCAGCACTCTACGAGCGCTTTTCGCCAGATGGTACATTTCTTGGTGATTCGTCGAACTCAGTTGGCTCTGCTAGTTTTTCTTCTTTGTCGAGGAAATATGGTCAAACCGTTTGGAGCAACCACCTACCAATATTTGGATTTTCTCGCCGAAACGACCTGCTCGAAATCTCGTTTCGCCCACATCTATAAGATTCGATTTACGGCGAATCCCTAGTGTTGTCTCGTACAACCTTCAACACGAAAGATTCCCAGCCTACTGGTTCATTCAGAGATTACCCTACTTGTCAGGGATGTCTCCCAGACACTTACAACGCATTCACCTGGTCAAACTTAACAACACCATCGACCTGCTTCGTCAGATCGTCCTGTTTCCCGTCATGATTTGCCGAACTTATCCATGTATCATCACCGAACCATTCTGGCAGGCTGGTTTGCTGCGACATCGCTGAACTGTTTTTTTCAAGAAGGAATGGCTCATCTCGTTCATCCGAACCACAACATCCCCGTACTAGTTTGGCAGACCGATCTGAACCTCATCATCGAACTAGTTCGTCAGGCCGAACCGATTCGCCGCACCAGAACCAGATCACAGTTCCGTTCCAGATCTTACCTCGCCGATCCAGATCACAGGAACGTACCAGATTGCTGATCCAACAGCATTCGCCGATCTGACAGCGTTATTTTCTGTCGCATGATGTTACTTCCAACACGACGTTTCTGCAGAACGCACCTTGAGGTTCGGCGAATCTGTACCACGCTGACGTTCGGACAACAGCCGCCTTTAAGATACAGCAATAATGTTGGTTCATTCGACACACATGATCACTTGGTTGACCAACCATCTACAACTATCCGGCGAAAATCATACCCACTCACTCACTCATCTACAGCTATCTTGAGCGAGATACCAGATGATCTACTTGCATCTAGATACGGCCAATTACCCCAGCTATTAATCAAACGCTACCAGCTTTCAATACGATGTTACTATTCAGGGTATTTGTGATACGCTGAATTTCTCACCACGACGTGGCATGCTTTTAGCATGACAATCTGACTTGGTTCTCCGGATTACCCTACGGCATGTGAGGCGCTAGAAGTCACATGACTTATCCCACCTGGTACCCTTTCTCAACTGGTTGAACGAAGGTAGTAGCTGTCAGTAGCGCACACATCTACATTTTGCCGGCACTTGACGTTCTGACGATCCCGGATCTCAAAGACTTCTACGTGACTAGAGCTCATATCGTTCCAGATTTATTCTACCATCCGATCTTCACCTTGATGAATGATTTGGTTTAGGAATCTACCCTCTGACGTAGATATCAGCTCTCCGATCACTCGTTTGTGCATTTCCAGACAAGCTTGATGCTTCACTGAGTCCTGTTACTTCAGACAACTCGTAACAGCGTCATGGTGTATCTCGGGATGTAATCATGGCCTGTTTCGTCATCTTCGTCACGTTCCTTTTACATCACCAGCAAGCTTCTGGACAGATGGTCAAGTTTCTGCGCATGGTACCAGCAGTGATGTCTTGTCAAGTAGCGAGCAACCCTTTACCGCTTTTTTTGGGCTGTGAACGAAGACCGAAGACCGTGTTGT